AGGGCCAACTATGCAAGTACCACAGAATTCCCCTTTGTAATATTTTACACATGTCAAAACAGTATACGTGAGAAATATCATAATCCCTTGCCATTTTACTAATGGGATAGATTGTTGTAACTCACATACCGTACTGCAGTAGCAGAAAGATATACTCCTGTTTTGGTGACCATTCTGTTCTGCATTTGTAAATGCAATGCAGACATACAGATACTCTTAGACTTATAAAAAGCAAACCTTTGCAAAGCTATTACTTAGGTGTAGCCTACACTACAATTTAACTCTGTCCATACTAGAAAATATGAATTAGCTATTAAAAAAAATAAAATGGCAAGAAAATGCGTACATGGCATTGTTACAAAGCCCACAATGAATCCAAGAAAGAGAAAATGCAGAAATGATTCATAATGCCATGATTTTTAATAAACCCCCTATTTATCCACAGTTTCTCATATTTTAACCCCATACTGAAACTCATTTTAGAAGCCTAATCTAAAATTAAATAAACATTTTTTAAAAGCCCCAAAAGCAGGGTATAAAGCAATACAGTGACAAAGAGTGTTTTACATATGTCCAAGAAACGCAATCTAAATTATGAAAATATAGTGAAGATGATAGCAACTTCACACAATGGATTTACTTAAGGAATTCAGTATTCCTTGAGCATTCAGTATTCAGTAAGTGAATACTTCAAGTATGCACAAGCCTGCAGCTAAACTGACACACAGTGGCTTTGGAAGGAGCTAAAGTTAACTCTAGTTACACCATAATCTTAAACTCCAAATCAGGAGGAGAAAATTCATTATTTTAACTTTGGAGCTAGACTAATAAACAGGAAGTTGGCAAAGAAGCCTCACAGCTCAGCTCCATCATGTTAGGTAGTAAATATTACCTTCTCAACAGCATCCTTGTCAAAAATCAAAGTGTCTTTTAAATATTATGAGTGAAGAATTTGTAATTGAAAGTGGCTTGCAATCTTTAAAAGTGCCTTTGTGTTTGTAGAAAGAATAATTAATAATTGTTTTAATTAAAACAAAAATAATTTTTTAGCCATTACAATACTTTTCATTGATGCCTTTTAAAATACAGCGAGGGTTAATTTGCTTTTAATTATTATGCATATGGCTTGTTTTTCAATGAAGAAACATAAAACTATCCTTTAAAATTCCTATTAACCTTCCACTTTTACATCCCTTTGATTTTCACTCAGGGTATTATTACTGTCATGGCACCCAACCTCTAGCTATGCACATTCCTCAGAAGGGAAGGTATACGACTTCCCTATGAGCCAATAAAATCAGTGGGATGGTTATTTGGATAACACTGCCAGCACTTTCCACAGGACAGTGTGCAAGTCGATACTCTAAGACTACCCAGGAGCATGGAGAAAGATTCAAAAGTCTGTCTTGTAACATGGGAGTCCCACATACTGGTGTAGCACACTGTTGGAAGCCACTGAGTCAACTAATTAAAGCCAATTTTATAGCCAGACTATGTCTTATCCTTACAGTGCTCACATACTAAATAGCCTAAAGGGAGCAACGGTTCTCTAGCTTTTAAAAAAATCCTCTTTTGTTATATATCTTCAAATGTAACCCTTGTGTTTACACAGATAGGGTGCTACAAAGCTCTTCAGTAACGTTAATATTGATTGAGAACATTTTTTGAAAGTAAGAGATGGAAACTGTTCCAAAAGTACTAGTGCAGCAATACTGAAAAGAATGACTAGAAGAAAAGATCACCTAAATAAATGAATGATAAAAGACACCCAGTGGATTTTACCTAATACTGTATGATAAATAGACCCTTGGATCTAACTTTGGTTTTCCCTATTTCTTCATTCATTTATTACAAACCTTTCTGAAATATGCCACTTTGTAGGTCATTTCGTTAGATATATTTTCACTATCTGATAAACAAGACATCATAACTAGCTGTTAGAATCGGACATAGGTTTTCTGATACATCATTCCCCAGATGAAAAATGTTTTTTTGTGAAAAAGAAAGTGCTCATAGAAACATGCTGATTCACTTTAAAATAAAAAATAAATAATAAAAAAGAAAACAACAAAGCAAATCACCAAACAAAAAAACTCCAAACAAGGCAAAAAAATTCTAATAAAATATTTGCAAACTAAACCTTTTAATAACTGATTCAAAGCTTATTTTAATCAAATGCCCTTTATATGCCTGAGAAATTCTCATTCAATTTTACCTGAAACATTACTGAACTTTTTTAATTTTACAGTAAAATGCTAAAGAAATATAGTTTATTACTGTCTTTTTTTCAATATCATGCAACGGTCAAATAAATTCTTAGAAAATCTAGAAACAGTATTGGTAGGTAAGGATTTTTTAGTATAAGACTAATGTTAATTACTAGAATTAGAAATTTATGGTATCGCTACTATTTCAAAGCAACAAGAAAGTCAAAGTATTAGCGTATCTGTTAATTCTTTGACTAATAACTTATAAAGTGTTTAGCAAAAGCACAAGTCCGTATATACAGATCTCTGAATTTAAAGATTTGCACATCTGCACTTCAGAAATATATTACGATGTGTTGAATAACAAATACTAACGAGGACAAATTTTCAGATTTCATGATAGCTGTGGTCATTCAAAATGTCTTGCTCAATCTTCAAAACCACAGTAATTGTTTTTACAGTTAGTTCAATTGAAAGTACAATAATCACATTAGCAGCAGAAAATAACAGCAAATGTGCTTGTTCTGAGGTTAAGAAAACAAGGCACAACATAATCCTCCCGAATGTGATCCAACACTCACTATAAATTGCTATGTCAAAGAATTTTTATCTGCGTGTTTAATACAGCACATATCAGCACTGAACCAAATGGCAATATGATAGTTTGGGGACTGTACCGTCTCTGTAGAACATAAGGTAATGAGCAACTATAAGAGTAGTTACAAATAGCAGTGATAAAATATGCTCATAAGGTATAACTTCACCATTATACATGTAAATTTCACCACATTTAGTAGCATGCACATTAGTAAAACAAAAGTCACACCTTGTATTTATCTGTGTTGTTACATTCTCCTGTGAGAAGACAGAATCTAGAAGGTCTGCAAATCACACATGCTGAGTGTTCTTTCAAGAACCGGGCATGAAGATTCTTCAGCTTTGCATCCTATTCTGCCCTGATCATTTATAGACAGCTTCTATCCCTCAGAGCAATGCAAGAGTTGCCCCACAAAATTTCTTTCCATCTGGATCTGTGCTGAAGCTGTTTCTTATGCAGATTCTCCCACATCGGGACCATTCTTCAACTCCATTCCCCTTCACTTTTTAACTTAATAATGAAGAATGACATAAAAATGACTAGGTAATAACAACATGAGTATTCAAAGGTTGACAGCATGTGCCTCCATTCCAGCTATAGGTCTATATGGAGAGTTGTTCTCACAGAGACTAGCAATGTGTTCCAGTAAAATCTCAAACAGGGTCTCAGGCATGTAGTGTAATATTTCTACTTACATTTAACCACCAAAAGCTTGGCAGAATCTCATAACTCAAATATTTATAAATATAATTTAAAAAAATACTGTTAAGAGCTCTGAAATTCATGCAATACCCATAACTCTATATGTAAAAGAGATGGAAGCAGAGACAAGACAGGATGAAATGGGACACATCAAGAAAAATGAATCTTGATATCCTGAAGAAGGAGATAAGAAAGGTACCTCACTAAATTATCCCTACAGCTATTTTTGAAGTTAAGGTGAAGATAAGTGAGTCAACATACTGGCAAATATTTTTACCTCAGAAATAATTTAACATAACGAAGGAGTCAAATACAGTATTTTGAAAGGGCTACTATCCATTTAAAAGGAATAAATTGTCAATATCTCTATTTTTAAAAAGCCCATGTTCTTATTGTTGCCATTTTGCTTTCTTTCATACCCTGATTAGTACAGATTTTATGAAAACAAACAAAAAAAACCTGACACATTGAAAATAGGAAGTAAAAATGAATGCTAAAGAAAATGTAACTGAGTAGCTTACTTTATCTAAACTACTCTGAGCTAAGAAAAGTATATGATAGGCACAGATGTAAAGAACACAAGATTAAAAGTTAATCTATTAATTATTTTTAACACAGCTACAATTGAAAAAAACTTGATCTGGGAATGTCTCCCCAGTGAAGAAATACTTTAATGCTATCATTTTCATGTGAAAACAAACACAATTATACAGGAAGCATTAGGCAATTAATCCATTTTCTTAGGAGAAAAGTTCAAATATTAAGATAACACAGAAAAGGAATTAAGTATTCACATGTGATTTCTCAGAAGATTTTGTGGTTACTACCACAGTGTATTTTATAATTCTATTTCCGATAGCTCTGATTTCTCAGTTATATTTACACAGTCTCTGGCTCCCATCTGGCTGAATCAACCACAACAACTAAGATCCAGGTGAGGGTCTTGTTAAGAGGTAGCGCCAAGCATTTCAGAAACAGCTTTATCCAAAAGACTAAAGTTTTACTGCTACTCTATCAAGCATCAGTTCATAGAGCAACTATCCAACTACTCTATCTTTTACTGCTGCTCTATCAAGAAGGTTGCATGCACCGAGCACTATTCTTGTACTTAAGTGATTAAAGAGGAATGGATATTTATTGATGTCAATCTTAAGTAAAAAAATATATGAGATTTGTTACTGAGCACTTGGCGAAATAGAAAAAAAAGATTTTCAAGTTAGAAGAAATTAAAAAATGAATGAAAAATGAAAAGTGTCAAAGCAAATGAACAATTTTAAAATTTTCCTAGAATGACTTCTTTATCCACAGAAAGAAAGAAATCTATTACAGGAAAATATCATTTAATTGGAAATACTTGCACATGGACATGAAGACACTAATTGTTTCAAACTTTTGATAAAACTGGTATCCTTTTAAGACCTAAAAAGAGCCAGAGCTAACCAAATAATAGTTTCACTTCTAACATAGAGAACCCCAGCTCTGGTAATACTCACTTCTGAATCTTCCATTTTTTTCTTTCTAATCTGTAATAATTCTCCATATGTTTTTTCTTCCTGATTTAACTTTTTCTCATATTCTGCTAGCTTATCTTTAAGATGATTAAACACCATCTGAACATTTTGTTCCTTAATCACAACAGTACTTGACATTTGCCTTTGAAAGAAATAAAAAGAATTCAATGAAGTAATCAAGATCTTCTACTATATTATGCTTTAGTCTTAATTTACAGGTTTCATTTTTAATTTTATAATAGCGTCTTCTTGCAAATAATAATACTTTTTATAAAAAACATATATGATGGAGCTTATCATGAATGTTTAGATCACTTCAAGACATTGCCTATCAATCCGTATCTAATGTGTCTATTGAAATACATAATTCTCACTTTTTAAAAAAACGGTTTGCATGTCTAAAATAACTTTCTAAAGAATGGACTGGTTCACTCACACATGTGAAGTATCTACATGAATATGATATTCTGAGACACAGAATTAGTCCATAACCAGTGATGTATTTGGTAACTACTATTTTTGTTATTTATTGGGACTGGAAGTGGGAGCTTCGTACCATTTGTGTAATATTTTGTTTCTGGAAGTTAAGAGGGGTTTTTTTTGGATGATTTTTAGACTTTAGAGTTCTTTCTGTTAGGTGGAAGCTCTAACAGCAGGTTCTCAAGACAAATGCAAAGTTCTCATTAGTGTCTGTTTTAGGTCTAGAAGTTGGACAATTTGCAAGAAAATTCCTTTCTGAAAGAGATGGACTTCATAGCTGTAAAAACAATGAATTACTGGAACTAACTTTCAGTACCACTTTGTGTTGATATTATCCTTTTCTTTGACTATAACATGTGTGCTGGGTTCAGCAGTAGCAGTCATGTTTTTTCCTTTGTGTTAACTGGTGCAGTGCTGTGTTTTGACTTCTAGTTTGAGAACAGCGTTGGTGAAGCCGATGTTGTTGGTTGTTGCTAAGTGATGTTTACCCTGACCAAGGACTCTGTGAGGCTCATGCTCTGCCAGGGAGGAGGGGAAGCTGTGAGGAAGCAGAGACGGGGCGCCTGACCCGGGCTAGCCGGGGAGGTATTCCATACCACAGCACGTCATGCCCGGGGTGGGGGGTAACTGGGAGTTACCCGGAAGGACAGGGGCTTCCGGGTGGAACTCGTTTTCTTGGCCGGTGGTATCGTATTCTCTTCCCTTGTTATTTTCCCTTATCATTGTTTTAGCTGATAGTAGCGGTGGTGATTTGTTGCTGGACTGTTCTTGTCTCAACCCGTAGGAGTTGCACTCTCTCGATCCTCCTCCCCGTTCCTCCGGGAGCGGGGAAGGGGAGAGCCCCGGTGCAGGGGGGGGGGAGACGGACACGGACCTTGATTGTTGTCAGCTCGGCACCACTCACTGGGAGTGAGTGAACAAGTTACCTGACTGGGTTTAAACCACGACACATGTCACTGATAGGAAACTACTGACTACTGGCTAAAGAGCTGTGGAAAATGAGAAAAGATTTTCAGTCGTGGAAACATGTCTTTCATATTTGAAATTCAGTAAGTTCCATTGTACATTGGGTCCTTCCAAATATTCGGTTTGAATTGAGAGTTAGGAAAAAAAACCCCACATATCTAGTGCCACGTATCCAGATAAAAAAATTACATTGAAAAAAATATTTTTTCCCCCATCAAGAATTTCATGGTGTAATCTCTCAAAGACCTTTCAACACCAACAGTACATAACTGAATGAGATCACAGAAAGGGATCTGTAGTATCATGATGCAAAGATGACTTTTTCACTGTTTAGTCACCCTTTAGAATGCAACAATCCAACCTGCTTTCTCCTTGATATTGCACAGCGGGTTCACCTTTATCCTTGAAGAGTAAGCCTGCTGTGCAATCAGCATATACAGCCCTCCAAGGCTTGCATGGCCTAGAAGGCAGCCTGCATTATCGGTTGAATAGAGCCCTTTGAGACTATCTTTAGGACTCATCAGTCACAGTAAGCGTAGGTCCACAGTTCTTAAACCAGAAAAAAGAGTGCTTGGAATCCTCCATTAATTAAGGATGCAACTGACCATGAATGTTATCAGATTTCCAAAAGCAATTCTGATGCCCGAAATTCAATTTGGGAGGCAGACAATTTATAGTTAATATCTTCTACAGATATGTTAAAACTACAAGCAGTGATCAGACAAAAATACTTTCAAATATTGATGAAAAGTGCATTACATTTCCTAAAAATAATATTTTAAAATAATAAAACTATCTTTAGCAATAGTAATAAAGTCAAATTACTAAATTACTTTGGTAAAAGTAATAAACTATCCTGTAAAATTCATATACTAGATAGGTCTTACCGCAAATCAGCAAAATATTGTTATACCTTTTCCATCTGTACTTGTTTCATATCACATAACTCACGTATTCCTTTAATTCCATGTTTTAAATTTTCCAGTGTGAGAATTTTCAGCAATCTGACTGGACACAGATGAAAATTTTTCCTAGGATTTAAAAAAAAACCCCAAACATAGCATGTTAATTAGGCAGGGCTAGATTTCCAAATTCTGACATTTAAGAACTTGATTATGAGCAACAATTCATGAATTTTTTATATCCAAAGAAAGAGAACTTGTTTTAGAGGGTGCACGAGAAGCTTTTAGTGCAACTGGAAGAATTCCATTTCTGTAAGATCATGGTGTTGCACATCCAGCTATAGTTCTCTAACTTACTGCACAATTCTTCTACTATTTATCCACAAGCTTTTTTATGGCACTTTTATTTTTGCAGTTGCCTTTTTTTTATTGATGTATGCAAATTTGTAGGTCATCATCTTCATAAAATACATTTCTCTTCTTATTTTTGCTTTTATACATAAAAGTCTTGCAAATAAGCACCGACTTGCACAGCAAAAACTTTATTAATGATAGCGAAAAGTAACAATTTTTGCATATGATCTAAGGCTAGGCCTATTCATTTCAGTGTATGCAGAGTCAGTGTCTTAACTGGAAGTTTTTTCTGCTAGACCACCAAAAATGGTACTTACAAAATATAATACTGGTTTAGGCAGATACCTAAAAAGCTGAACTTTCAGGAAGAATCAGTATTTTTATTTGCAATTCTGCAGGTAGAATATGGCTTACCCGTTATGTCTAAAAACTGGCATTTTTCATTTAGTTCCCTACAGAAAGAGTTGTCCTCTTTTAGATGTCAAGTTTTTCATACCACAGTTGTCCTGAACTCCGGACAGCAGAGGATTAAAACACAGAGAATGACTCCTGAACACCTGCCTACTTTCCTCAGCTACAAGTACACAACTCAAAAAACTGCTGAAAACCTTTATATTAAAATGGTTTTCACTAAACTTCCCATTCTACAGAATAAAGATTAAATTGCAGTGTCTTTTTCATACCTGTGACTGACAGTCATGGGACCCAAAAAATATAAAGATTCATGACACAAGCAAGCTGTACCTACAGGAACAACAGTATCTGGTAAACAAAGCTGCAGCTTCCCGGCAATGAACAAGAGAAACATAAAACACTGTAGCAGTTCAATAGTAATAAAGGGGGGTGAGTCTTCTCTTTGGGTGGTATTTCTAAAGTGGTCTTGCTGCATTAGATTTTTTAACCCATACTAATGGGCTGTAAGCAGCTATGTAAATGGATTAAATTAAGAGGGAGGAAAATACGTTTTGATTATGCTTATATACGCATATATACACACATCATTTAAGTGCACACATGTATAAATACCACAAGACCACACAGTTCAGTAGGCAAAGAATGCACCACAATAGATAAATAGAGAACAGTATTTTAAAAATTTCTTCTTTAGATTCTGCCCCATTTTTCTGAAGCAGCAACTTGAAGCATCATCTGATGGTCTTCTCTCTGGTGAAAGAAGCGCGTCTTAGAGGTGTGCCTAAAAGATAGCTATAACAAAAATGAGGTATCAAAGCTTCTGTAAGAGGTGTTAACACAGATATGAAGGTGTGCAAGGTACCTCAAGAACATGACTTTTTTAAGGCCTACAAACTTTGTAAAAGTGTAGTATGTATCTGTATAGAATTGATGAAATTTCAGGTTTCTTGCAGGAACACAGAATCATTAGAAAGAAAATTAATATAAGGTAATTAATGCAAATTCTGATGCAACTGAGTGGCCCATAGAGAGTCTCAAACCTCTAAGGAAAAACAGTATTAATTTTAGTTCTCACTACCAGGTGAAATTGGAGAAATGTGATAGCCTGTGATATACAGGCTGTCTGAATGGTCTGTCTTGGCCTTAAACTTAACAAATAATGAAATCTGAGATGATCAAGATACCAGGGGCAGACATAAACATACACAAAGAAGTCATAACAGTCATAACATGCAGAATCAGGTTCACATTTATGAGCTATGTTAGAACAAAACTGCCAAAGAAGAAGAATTTTGTCTCTTCCTTTAGGTCATTTTAACCAAGGCAGATAAAAGCTGAAAATGCTGGCTTCCAAGCATATGAAATACTAGCCACTGAGTCAGTGCAAGCTGGTACCTATTATAGAAGACATAGAATTTGCAGTCAGGTTTTAGGAAAAAAAATCCAACCAAAAGCAAACGAAAGATGGTGAGATACTCTACATTCTGTGATCCAAATATCAGTAGACTGGGTATCTGCTCCTTATAGGTTGCTGTACTGGACAACAGTTCAGTATCTTGCCTAAGCTGATTGAGTCCCTTGGCACTTGGTCGTTCAGCTGTTCAATACATGAGCACTATTATTGATTCTTCTTAGTTGCTGAACAGAACTACTGGTGTACTATGGGATAGAAACCATTTTATCTAAGTATCTAGCTTTTAGACATGTCAGCAGACTAAACTAAGTCGCTTCGACTTCAACAGTGAGATGCACTAGCCTCCAGTGTATGATCCTAAAATAGGTAAGCTATGAAGAACTGGGTGAATTGCTTGATCATTTGGAAGTTGAAGACTCTACTCCTGCATCAAGAATACTATGGAATAATAGCCATTTTTTCCATGACATCATTTAAGCTACTCACTGGACAAGCTTTAAACAAGCCAATGTGTGGTGGTTTAAACCCAGCCAGACAGCTTGTTCACTCACTTCCTCCCCTTCTTGCCCTCCCCCTACTCCCAGAGGGATGGAGAGGAGAATCGAAAAGAATGCAACTCCCACAGGTTGAGATAAGAACAGTTTAGTAACTGAGGTATAACACAAATCACTACTGCTACCACCAATGATAATAATGATAAAGGAAATAACAAGAGAAGAGAATACATCACCTCACCACCAGCCAACTGATAACTCGCCCCCCCCCAGCCCAACCAGGCACCGACCAATACCTCCTCCAACCCTGCAGTCTACCAGCCCTTCCGGGTAACTCTCCGTTATATCCTGGGCATGATGTGCTGTGGTATGGAATACCTCCTTGTCTAGCCTGGGTCAGGCATCCCGTCTCTGCTTCCTCATGGCTTCCCCTCCTCCCTGGCAGAGGACGAGCCTCACAAAGTCCTTGGTCAGGGTAAACATCACTTAGCAACAACCAAAAACATCGGTATCACCAGCACTGTTTCCAGGCTGGAAGTCAAAACACAGCACTGCACCAGATACCAAGAAGGAGAAAACTGACTGCTATTGCTGAACCCAGGGCACAATGTCATGTGACAGCACTAAAATGTCTGAATATAAGTTTACATAACTTCTCCTTAAAAAAAATCATGATTAACAGAATCATGTAGTGTGACCTTACACAGCTAGAAAGATGAGTAATTATTAAAAATAAGACAGCCCATTTTATAAAGCCCCCCTTTTACAAAATGTCAATTGTTATGATCAAGGAACTGCATTAAGCTCTAAGAACACAGCATTTAATGCATCCAGGTATTGTTACCAGTTCAGAGCTCTAAGTATCTCATAAAATAGGCTTTGTATGCTGTGTTATTTCACTTAACCAGAACACTCCTCTAGTACTCCTCCAGAACACCAAATCAAATATTGCTCAAGTAATTAATGGATAGAGTTATTTAGTTACTAGGAAAGGTAGCATTTAAAATAATAATGAAAATTACAGGAAATAAATGCACTGAAAAACACTGTAGAATTACTGATTATGATGTACTCATCAGTCATTTTCACATGTTCTAAGATCTACTGGTAACCTGCAGTTTGGTAGAGAACAATCTTTAAGAGAAAGGGATATAAAAACTGTCCTGCCAAACCTGTCTGTATCAATGAGTTTCCCAAAGCTTAATTTAAGATTCTGTTATATGTGTAAATCTCAATAGAGATTACTGGGCTCATAAAAGCTACTCTGAACGATATGAAAACATTTCTTTCATTTTTTTTAATCTATATGACTCATCTTCAATGCCATAATACCTATCTTAAGTTTATACAATATGCAAGTGAAAGAATAATAAAAATTAACTGAATCTTAGAAAGAAAATATTTGTTTCTTCTAACGCTTATAACCATGTTTATATAAAGCACAGGGTTCAGTATTGAAATTCAGTAATTCCCTTTGGTGGATTATAGAGTTTAGTAACTGATACAGCATATATAAGCCATCATTTACAAAAAGATGCCATCTGCTGAGCAAACATGCAATCAGCAGGCACTTCCTATTATACTAGAATCTTTTTTGTCCTTTATTGATTTTCTCCATTGCATTTCTAAAGCCCCTTAAGCAATCTGAATCAGTGTAGCAAATGAAGAAAGCAAAGGACTCCTCAATGACCCCAATATCAATTCTGCTTTGTATTTTACACTGTCTCAAGGCTATGGACCTCATAGGTTAGTTTGAGCAAGAGACAGAAAATAGTACATACAATATATGTATGTACATAGTTCCAAGGCAACTGTGTAGAAATGACAGCCTAACCTTTGAGATTAAACATACTTAAAAAAAGCCATACAAGCATTACATTATTCACCTGTGTATCACTTAATAGTTGCTGCATAATAGTTCTTTTTTCTTTCAGTTTGCTCCTGCTGCTTATCTAGCTCTTGTATTCTCTGATTCAAATAGGAGAGCTTATGGAGAGTTTACGAATCAATAGACATGTTAGTATTCAAAAGTTATTGTCCCACATTCTACAGAAACAAGAAAATATATTAGTTACTAAATATTAAACAGTTACCTTTCCCTTTCCATACCCATTTTTCTGTTATGTGGGTTTCTGTACTCTCTGCTTTGAATGAAAAAATGCACATGTAAAATATAAAATATCTCTGCTACTTCATACAATGTTTACCATAATACAGCAGAAAAAAAAAAAGTCTTACTCTGCTCCCCACGTTTCTTTACTTTCTTTCTGCCAAGGAAGGTACAAATAAAGTTCTGAAATCAAAATACATATTTGGAATAGCTTCCATGGAGTTTGTATAAAGGGAAAAATAAATGTTTATAACTCATTATCACTAACTCCTGAAAAATATAGCTAAGGACAGATAACAAGAAGAAGAAGAAGAAAGAAATAATTAGCACCTCAAGGTAAAGTTCTTGACTATGGCAGTAACTTTTTTTGCATCATTAGTGTGAGCACCAATTATTATATAATAATTATTAATACATGTAACAAGGTAAACTTTACTAAATATGCTTATATAAATGGTATAATAGTTACATTATCCGAAGTCTGAAATTCCAGTCACACTATATAACAAAGATTATTAAAATAGGCATTAATATTACCATTCCAAAGGTATAATTTAAACTTTTAATCAATGAGAAAGTTCTTCCTTGAAGTTAGAATATCTTTTGCATATCATTCACACAGGAATCTGTTCATGGAAACTCTGTTTCCAAGCTGTTAAAAGAGAAGTGAATACACAGCTATAGGCCATGATGTATAACTTATACCACACCTCCCTAGATTTCCAGGAAACTAATGATGTGATCTTTGTCACATTGTTTCTACTTAGTTTTAGTTGGGGAAGGGATAACAACATTAGTCACTGCCATTAATGTGTTGTTTTGAAAATACTATTAGCTGGTAGAGGAATCTTTTTTTTTTTTTTAATTTTTCATTTTGACGTATTAAACCTGCATCAAAAATAAACTATCAGATAATCCATTATCTGAACTCAATTTATTCAACATCCTCCATCTCTCCTCCAAAAATGGGGAAGTACTGCTACATGCATACTACATCATGAGCCCTTCAAATCCCGCATTCTCCAGAAAATACAGCCCTTCTCCAGCATTAAAAAACTGGAGAAGACATCATCTCCCATGACAAGCTATTTACTAGTCGTCAAACAGCAGAACAATGAACCTAAAGACTGATTCTGCAACAAAAACTTCTTTTCACTGAGGCAGCAGAAATTCTTTTATCTGGGTTTTGAGTTAAAATAAAAAATCCTATGTCTAAACTGAATAGGCTCAAAGTTGTTGATCTTACTTGAATGTAAGAATTGTTCCATAACAAGTATATGGCTTATTGAAAACTCCTTGACTTAATTCTGGACACAAGCCATCAATAGTTAGTTTTGTTTCCTATTGATTTGGAAACAAAAATGAAGGCATTTTGCTCTTCCTTTTCTGGCATTAAGGTCTAGCAAAAATGCCCTCCTCTTTTAAACACTTAACAATTACTTCTTTCACAATGATTACTGTATTTTCAGCCCTCATCCTTAAGATACTTATTTCCTTTGCCATAAAACAGAAAAGGAGGGAAGCTTCAAAACTTCCCCAGACTGTAAAGCTGCTTGTATCAGTGAACAATGCATGCCCACCTATTCATTCACTGTGTGGCAGCTCACATTTGGAAGGACTTGTCTGCCAGGATTTGCACATATTTCATAGTGAAATAGAGAACAAAGGCTTTGAGCAGTACACAAGGCTTAATTTAAGCGTAATGATAGAAGGACAGGCCCCAGTCTCAGTGTTGCTGGTTGGACAATTACCAGTGTGAAAGCCAAACTCTGTTTAACTTGTAATAAAAGACAGAAAACAATTTAAATTTTCCCCAGGTTTCCAGTCATTTTCAGAGTCAAAAAAGAAAAGTAATAAGAACCTGCTCAAGAAAAAGACATACAAAAAAGTATAAAGTGAAGGTATGGAAATGCTCTTAATTAAAGAATAATAGGAAGAAGAAGAAGAAGAAGAAAAGAAAAGAAGAAGAAGAAGAAGAAGAAGAAAAGAAAAGAAGAAGAAGAAGAAGAAGAAGAAGAAAAGAAGAAGAAGAAGAAGAAGAAAAGAAAAAGAAGAAGAAGAAGAAGAAAAGAAGAAGAAGAAGAAAAGAAGAAGAAAAGAAGAAGAAGAAGAAGAAGAAGAAGAAGAAGAAGAAGAAGAAAGAAGAAGAAGAAGAAGAAGAAGAAGAAAGAAGAAGAAGAAAAGAAGAAGAAAAAGAAGAAGAAGAAGAAGAAGAAGGAAGAAGAAGAAGAAGAAGAAGAAGAAGAAAGAAGAAAAGAAACACACACCCACACCCACCCATGAAAAATTACATCCCAAAGAGTTCTGCAAAGAAAGACGAAATGGTTCTCTTTGAGGGTTTTGCTTCAGTATAGTGGATAGACATTGCATCTTGCACTAAACTATGGTTGAGATTTCGAAGATTCCCATATCATTTGAGAACAATAAGGTCTGTTTCTACAGATGTTGACATGTTAGAGAGACATGCAACTGTCGGCATTGCTTAAGGAGATGATTGTTTACCTACCTAAGGTCTCATGTTTGTAGGACTACTAGTCAGCTGATCTACATACTGCCAGGTATATTCCAAAACCATTTATCATTGTAATACCTTGTTTTCAAACAGTAATTTAGTTAGGAAATATTGTCAACTTTTCCCTCTGTCTTCTATTGCCACTGTTGTAGCTCTCCACATAAGCGAAACATTCAAACACCTCAAAGATCAGCAGATCTAAAAGAGGAAACTTTAACAATGAAATAAATGTTTCTCAGTCATACAAGTTTAGTTTGTATTCCTATTACTCTTTTGAGAAGATTATTTTTCAAAAAAAAAATCCCCAAAGTTTCAAACTCAGGGAAGGTTAACACCACTAGTATACCCTGTAAATATGGGAATAGGGTACAAAGCCCTCACTTTACAGCTGGAGGAAAATGGCTTTTTGGTCATACTTTTAAGATGATACCGGGGAGAACTAAAACATGTCATACTGTAACAACATGAATGCTCTACTAGCAGCAAAAGAGAGGCTCAGAAGAGTGTATTTAATTAAGTCAGTTCAAGTAGGTTATGGGACTGTTTTTAACACAAGAAACTTCTATTTCTTTTTCTTATTATACAAAACAGACCTTTCATGACAGAAAGGAAAAACATTTTTTATCAATATCATCCATACATCCACAATGTAGGGAAGTGAAGAAGGTCCCCACCATGCCATGGCTGGGGGTTTATATACTAGTTGTTCTCTTAAGCTTATAAGTAAGCAAAGTATAAAAGAAACAGTCTTCCTTTTTGCAAGAAAACAGATCACAGGAGTCAAAAGAAACAGAAAGATTTTTCTAATACAGGAAGTAAGAAAGGTCAAAATAAGGCTGGAATTATGTTGTCTTTTGTTATCTGGTATCACAGCACAAGTGCACAGCTGCAAAATCCAACTCTTCTGAGCTATGGATTCCTGTTTCCTCTTGTATTTTTTTCTAATAATGAAAAAAATTATGCTAGTGAGTGGTCCAGAATCTACTACCTTTACCTCATGCTTGTCTTCAGATATATCTTTTTTTCTTTTCTGTTTTTCTTCTACAGCAGCTACTTGACCATCAATCTCTTCTATCTTCTTCATATCTTCCTTTATTTTCTTGAGTTTCTCTTTTTGCTTTTCCTCTAGCTCATCATATACCGATTTAATCCTGTCCTGTTTATTAAAATACATGTAGAATTAGCTTTCAGTATTTCAAAAGTAGAATATGAAAAAATTCAAATCTGAAAGAACATTTATACCCTTAAGTAAACCCCAAGAATAGAACAAAAGTTGATTAAAGGTGATTAAAAATGTCTTCAAAATAAAGGAAAAGCTGACCATTAAATTGACATATATCAGAAGCCCATGAATACAAAATGCCAAATAGCTAGCTAACATGAACATAGCAGAGAAATCAGCAAGAAAAATTAGGAAATGTAAAAATGACACTGAAGCAGACAATGGATTTACAGTACTATTTAAACAAATAGCAGAAAAAAAGCCCATAAAAAAGAAATTAAAATTCCAAATATTAAAATTGAAAATCTTTTCTGATGGGAAACATAATCACTTTAGGCATGTTCCTAATTATTTGTTTCTTTTTTTTTTTTAATTGAATGAAAAAAAGAGAAGGGAAACACTGAAGAGTGAAATAGAACAACCTTTGCAAAATAAATGAACACTCTTCAAGGTTGGGAAATACAAGATCCAGCATACACCCAGTCCAAACATCTCCCCTCAACCAAAAGAAATAAAGAAAGACAGATAAATATCATGCACTATCATCAGCTGTGTTCTTCAGAACGGTCAGGTCTTACATACATTTACAATTTCTAACATCCAAAATTCACCATCACTTGAAATTAAATAATTATTCATCTGTGTAGCAAAGAGAATGCACAATATCTGATACTGAGACACACACGCACAAGGTCTATGGATATTTGAAGTGGTACACAGATGGCAACATTTTGAGTACCTTTCAGCTGTAGAAACAGAGTGGAATAAGCTATGAAGATTAGGGGGAAGAGGGAAAGAAATACATGTGAATTACCCTTTTCAAAGTACTATGCTAGGTGGTAAATACATCATTTTTCTTGTTTTGAATCATAGTCTACAAAAATAGTTATCCTTACCAGGAGTATTTCAAATAGGAAGTGCAGCATAATTTCTGAATTCCTGTAGAATGGCACACTATTAGCTTAAGTTACAGATAACGTTCCATGTGATGTTATGGTTAGTAGGCAGAATGGACAGGCTTCACAGAAAACCAGTAACATTTCTGGATCTCTGTTACTTTATACCCAGATGGCATTAGGTGATTCCATTTGGCTGTCTCAGTACAGAATCTCATCTAAACTGCTATACACTTTGGCAGTAGCTAGTTAATGATAGCTTTTGCACTTGAAACATCCTTTGACGTCATCATAAGTTTTGTCAAGGAAAAAACTCTTGACAGCAAGGATATGAAGGTGATCTAACCCATAGAAATGAGGCTTTGGAAGAAAAATGATAAAAATAGCTTTAGTTGAAACAGAACTTTAAAACCACCTTAAAAGAAGTCTAAGGTGCATTCAAGAACCTCCTTATCTTGAAAAAAACATGAATTACAATGAAAAAGCAATTCTGAGCACAAAATTGACTTACCTTTAGTGTTCTTTTGTGTGTTCTTTTGTTTCTGCCTGTAAAAAGAGTGGGTTAGAAGTGCCACTGAAGTTTTTTGCCAAGAAACAAGACAAAGAAAGAAGCTTTTTGGTTTCAAGAAATAATCAAAAAAGATCAGTACTGAATACCAAATAGGGACAAAGAGGTTTGGAAGTACCAAATCAATCCCATCATGCTGTGGCAGTCATGCTAGAGTCAGGCCCAGCCCTGCTCCTCCAGCCTTCTCTGCAGCAAAGCCTGAGAATCAGAGGGAATTTTTGTATCAACTACAAATACATGTGATAGAGAACTTGTGCACCACCCGGCTTAGAAGTGGAACATTCAACACTTTCTGCTAATGTCTGGGATGAACAGGAACTGCAAGATGTCTCTTAAGGCTTGTCTTTCTAGAAATGGGGTACGTAGATTCTGCTATTGAACAGTTCAAAGTGACAGAATGGAAGAGAACAAGCTTAACGGAAGTAAAATGGGGACTGTGAAGCAAATAAAAATGGTTCAGAATTCTCTCTCAAACAAAAAGGAACAAAAAATTTCAGAAGGACTTCTAGTCATCACAGTAAATCGATCATTCAATTCTGAAGAAAAACAGCCTTTGACAGCTCTTGGAGTAAATCTCTCTTATCTAAGACCACTGCAGAAGGAGCCAGAGGTGGTTTCTGACTCAAGGACTTGCAGTAAAAGACTGCAATGCCTCCCTGCAGTTCTGGCTATATCCTCCCCTTGAGGAGGAAGGAGCAGCAGACACAGTGTGTGATAAACTGACTGAAGTCCTCGTCCCTCATACCCCTGTGCTGCTGCGGTGGGATGGGAAGGAGATAGAGAAAATTCAAAGTTGAGCCCAAGAAGAAGGGAGGGGTGGCGGGAAGGTGTTTCTAAGATTTGGTTTTATTTCTCATTTTCCTACTCTGATTTGATTGGCAATAAATTAAACTTATTTCCCCAAGTCAAGTCTGTTTTGCCTGTGACAGTAATTGGCAAGTGATCTCTCACTGTCCTTATCTTGACCCATAAGCCTTTCATTGTATTTTCTCTCTCCGGTCCAGGTGAGGAGGGGAATAATAGAGCAGCTTCAGTGGGCACCTGGCATCCAGCCAGGGTCAACCCCACCACACCAGGTTTTTTGTATGTTAAAGGTTTCTGTGTTATTGGATTGAAACTTTGAAGGAAACATTGACTTTGATTTTCTGGCATCACTGAGACTGAAGGAGCAACATCCAGAAAGTTGCTGCATAGACAGAAGCCAGAGTTTGGTTCTAACAACCTCACTTAAAGACCTCCTATGTCTAGCTGGTAACACCGAATGCAGGGATTAGGGACTTCTTCAGAAAATAGTCCTGGATCTTCTACTCAGTGCTTGAGGCTTTAAGACCTTGTAGTTATTACAACAGTTTGAATATGACTATTATCCCTGATCTTGCAGAAGACAACTGATGGTATCCTTCCGCCAAAGGATGGATATAGGTAGAATATTTGTTTTGGTGATGCCAAACTTGGAATTTCAGTCAGAGAAGCTGAAGAAATAGCAACATTTACCTGAGGATGGCTGAAAAGCATCACTGAAATCTAGAAGAGCTACATTTCACAATCATAAAAGGAACACCAAAGTGTGACGTGTGAATTTAGCAGTTTCACATCAGAAGAAAATAAGTGCTATTTTACATATGCACTTATCAATGTATTGCAGTGGTAATATGGTAAGGGTCTAATTGCAGTTTCTACAGAAACTGAAGAAACACAAATTCAAATGATAATGTAGTATATACTGATTATTACTAAAGGGTTTTTATCTTATACAGCAAACTGGAAAAAATTGTGAATAACTGGGATACAAATAAAGTGTTTTATGTTTTCATAAGTATTTAAATTTTCCTAATTGTTAAACATCAGGCGTTGTTACTTAGCAAAACTCATTAGCCTTCTACGTCAGCTTGTCACAAGGTACTCAAAGTTAATTCATGGTAGGAAGGGAAAGAAATAGAAGAATTGAGACAAGTAAAATGGTTACAGTCATGTTTACCTGGATTGCTTTCCAAACTCCTTTTTGAGATTGAATTTCTTTTTTAAGATCCAACTCTGAATTCTTAGGGGAAAAAAACATAAGAAAACAAGTTAATAGAAAACAGCAATAGAAATTTAACACTAACATCACAGTAAAGAGGAGCATAGCTTTACAATTTGTTTTCAAGTACAGAACTATACTTTAAAAGGAAGAGTCTCAGGAACACGAGGTAAATAAATATAGACCATACTATAATTTAAAAGTAAAAGTTTATTACTTTTCCAGATTTAATGTGATTTATTTTTGGTAGTGTAAAATAATTAAATACATTGAGAAGCTGTCCTGGCTTACCTGAATGGATATTGAACATCAAATGTCCAAAGTTTTAAAATCTTAGTGCCTTCTATATTTTACATGATAGACTTCTTTTGCAATTTCAAGTAGAAAAATGAAGATGTTTTAGCCTTTCCTTATATGACCATCCTGCTCATCTCACTTCTAGGATAACAGTTATGTATTACATTATTATAGTTTGCAACTTTCAAATTTTTGATAAACACATAATCTGAACGTGTGTCAGATTAGCAGACCATCATAACTGTACCTTATTGCAATTTAATTCAAACTGTAATTGGGGCTCTTTCCTTTTTAATTGAATTTAGGGAACAGAAAACCGATTATTTAAGCAAAACTAGGCACAATATGGCCAAAACAAAGTAAGAAATTGACTCAATCAACGCTAATATCGAAACACATTTATTCACATCCATATCTGATCTTTGGAAATGCATATGCCATCAGCACTTGGAGGAGGAGGTTTCTGTATAACAAGGTCATGAACATCTCCCAGATGCCACATACATAAGAAAATACAAAAACAGGTGCCAGACATCCCCATATATTCTCAAACTGCAAATCCCAAAGATTATTAAGAACTTCAAGGAAATAGAAGTAATGGAGATCAATGTTCATGTGGAAAAGACACCCTATAATCAGTGAGTAACAGCCTTTTTTTCAAACAAAAGTTTATACACTGGCTCCAAGGATAATTCCAAGCAACGACTTATGTCCATGGCCCTGCCCCCACCCTCACATCTCCTTACCCACATATGCATATAGTGTAACTCAGTCCAAATCCTGAGTCTATTAGGCAAACCGTGGCATCTGGACTCCTCTCCAAAATGCAGCAGCATTTTGAATGACTAATGTTAACACTTGGAGATTGCACAAATATATTTTTCAGTCTATTTAGTAACCCAAGGGTACAGTTTAACTGGTGGTTACAGACAGACATGTTTTTCAGACACACCAGGGGGTAATTGCTCTCACAGAATATCAGCAAATCAGAAATATCAGCAAATCACAGAATATCAGCAAAGACCAGGCATTCAACTATAAATTGCACCTTCATTTATATGATCGTATTCAAAATTCATCAGTATTCAGCTGTTGCTTAGGTAGAGAAATATTTTACCTTCTGTGAACCTGCTCACAGTCCCTGTGTATGTCTTCATGTGAGTATGTACGCTTTAAATCATTACAAATGCAATGCTTTTGCTAATTTATGGTAACTAAGACCCAATATAGCAATGGTAACTTAAAACTGTTGACAGAATGGTTATTTTGGAAGTGGTAGTAATGCAGGTATTGCTTAATAAAGGCACTCAATCAACTTGAGTGGTGCTAGAAAGCAATCATCTCATCATTGAAGACAGGACCACCAGTAATGGCTGCATGTAGAAGTTAAGTTCTACCAACAAGTGAATCAGAATACCTTCAGAATGAAATTCCATCTCTAACCATAAATGCATGTCTTTGAGGTACATTTCTGACTGACTACATGCCTGGGATGTTAACACTAGCTATGACTTGAGAAGAGAGCTTAAGAAACAACAAAGCCACAAAAAAGTGTATGTAGTCAAATGTAAAAATGTAGTAATTTTAAAATGTAGTCAAATTAAAAAAAAAGATTTTTTATAAAAATTAGAGGATTTTTTTAAAAACTCTATGAGGTACAGCTAAAAAACCAAAACACTTGCAAGCTAGAGGGAAATTACTTACAGGTGTCATATTGGAGGCACAAAGTACATGCAAGCCAAGTTTTGACAGATACTTTGGAAATATCAAAAAGAAAATCAACAGCACTAAACAGAAGAGAAGCTATTAACATTAAGATAAAAAGTTGAAATTATATCTAAAAAAAAAAAGAGAGAAAAGATCCTGAATTTTGCATATTGAAATCTAAAAATACTATCAGGCAAACTAAATAAGAGGTCTGGAAAATCCTGCACAGGACATAAATCAAGTCCTTTTCCAAACACATCTGATAAGAAGCCTGCTAGACACAATGTAAAGCCAACAGAAGATAAGAAACACTTAAAGACAGACTTAACACGAATCACTTAGAAAACAGGATGATAGGGGGCAAAAGCCCAAATTCCAAAGCAAATAAAACCTGCAAGCCGCTAAGAAGCAAACTCATGATATGATTTATAATGAAAAAAATATTTAGCTGACACACGGAAATTTTGATGCATAGGAGAGGAATCGGAATCACTGGGAAGTAGTGCTTGAAAATTCATTAGTTTTCTGAAGGATTTAAGAAGTATGTGGAGAAGAGATGTCTGGGTGATTCAGTCTCCCTGGACTCCTGAATGATAAAGTATTGTACGAACAACTCCTTAATTAATTTCCTGGGAATGAGGCATCCCTGCCTCACTCCCTGTCCTTTATTGTGACCTGTGACCTGCCATTATCAGTGACCATTTACTAGGCGATTCATTTTCTATTCTGGAGAATACTGTTACTCATTACTTTTCAAGTGTTTTAAAATGCACAGTTAAAATCATATGTTATAAATTATTTTTTTTTTATATTAGGTTGTTTGTCCAATAATTCTCTGATACAGAGATCATTATTTTCAATTCTTTCACTCTAAAAAATGAATTTAATTAAAAATATACCTTGAAAGAGATTTCTTCTGCAATTTTGTTTTTTTTTTTTAGTTCCTCATACTTTTTTTTTGTTTCACTGTAGGACAATTCAGCATTAGAGACACCTTCATTTAGTCTTTCTAGTTGCTGTTCAGTCTTATGTTTTTGCAGATAGTTTCGATTTCTGACTTGTTCTTTCTTTCTTGTTTAACTGTTGAAACAAAATGGACAACATTACATTTCATTGTATAAAGTATATTGATTAAAATAAAATTAAACCCCATTTTTGAATAGGTAAAGCTAAACCACTTTAAAATCAAAAGCAGTATTTTATTAGCCTGCTATTTTATGCTGAACACACCAGGTTCTACCTCAAAACATTAGTCTCTATTCATGAGTCTAAGGCAGACAGCTGATATATTAAACAACTTTTTTGTTTTGCTGTATATCTATACTGTTAACCTGCATCATAGAGTCACAGAATGGCTGAGGTTGGAAGGAACTTCTGGAGGTCATCTGGTCCAACTACCGTGCTCAAGCAAGGTCACCTACAGACAATTGCCCAGGACCATATCCAGATGTCTTTTGAGTATCTCCAAGGATGAACAATCTACAGCCTACATCAGCAACTTGTCAGTGCTCTGTCACCTTCACAGAGAAAAAGTGTTTCCTGATGCTCATACAGAACCTCCCATGTTTTGTTGTTTGCCTATTGCCTCTGGTCCTGTTAGTGGACACCACTTAAGAGAACATGGCTCCATCCCCTTTGCACCTTTCTTTCACTATTTATAGAGTCATAGAATCACAGAATGTAGATACACATAGAATTTATATACATTAATAAGACCTTCCCTGTCCCCTCTATTTTCCAGGCTGACTAGTTACAGCTCTCTCAGACTTCACTCATGTGACAGATGCTCCAGTCCCTTCATCATCTTCATCACCCTTTGTTGGACTCTCTTCAGTACATCCATGTTTCTATTGCACTAGGGAGCCCAGTACTCCAGGTGTGACCTGCTGGCAACATTGTTCCTAAAGCAACCTAGGACGCCATCTGCCTTCTTTGCAGCAGTGCCATATTGCTGGCTCATGTTCAACTTGACGTCCACCAGGACCTCCAAGGCCTTTTCTGACAAGCTGCTTTCCAGCTGGGTGGCTCACAGCACGTACTGATGCATGGAGTTGTTCTTCCCCAGGTGCAGAACTTTGCACGCCTCCTTGTTGAACTTCATGAGGTGCCTTTCACCCCATTTCTGCAGCCTGTTGAGGTCTCTCTGGATAGCAGCATGGTCCTCCAGTGTATCAGCCACTCCTCCCAGTTTGGTATCATCAGCAAACTTACTGCGGGTACACTCTGCCCCATCATCTGAATGATCAGTGACCATCAATGAAATTAAACAGGACTGGATCCCTGGGGTACACTTCTAGTTACTGGCCTCCAGCTTGACTTTGTGCCACTGAGCACCGCCCTTTGGCCTTGGCCATTGAGGCAGTTTTCACTACACTCTACTGTCAGCTCATCCAGCCCATACATCAACTGCTTATCTATGAGGATCTTAATGGTAGACAGTTTCATAAGTCTTACTGAAGTCCAGGTAGACAATATACACTGCTCTCCCCTTGCCTATCAGGCCAGTCATTTCACCATAGAAGGTATCAGCCAGGTCAAGCATGAAGTCCCTTTGGTGAATCCATGCTGACAAACCAAATGACTTTCTTGTCCTTGTGAAATGTGCCTGGAAAATGGTTTCCAGGATTATCTTCTCCATCACCTTCCCAGGGACTGAGGTGATGCTGACTAGCCTGCAGTTCCTTGGGTCCTCCTTCTTGCCTTTCTTGAACATGGAAGTGACATTTACTTTCCTCCAGTTCTCAGACACTTCTCCTAGTCACTCAGTTATAGAGAGTGACCTCACAATGACATCTGCCAGGTCCCTCAGTACCTGTGGCTGCATCCCATCAAGGCCCATAGACTTATGTATATCCAGTTTGGTTAAGTATTCCCTGACCTGACCCTCTTCCACAAACAGTATGGCTTCCATGTTCCAGCCTTTCCTCCCCATCTCTGGGACCTGGGATTCCTGAAGACTGGCCCTTGCTGATAAAGACTTAAGTAAAGAAGGTATTCAGTACTTGATCCTTTTCCATGTCCTGTGTCATCAGGTTCTATGCCTCCTTCAGCAACGGGCTCACATTGTCTACAGTCTTCCTTTTGTGATCGATGGACTTACAGAAGCCCTTTTTGTTGCTTTTGATATCTCTTGCCAGGTCAATTCCATTTGAGCTTTGGCCTTCTTAATTCCATCTCTGCATCAAAGTGTCTCTGTATTCCTCCTAAGTTACCTGTCCCTGCTTCCACCCTCTTTATGCGTCCTTTTTATGTCTGAGTTTTTCTAGTAGCTCCTTGTTCATCCATGCAAGCATCCTGGCATTTTTCCTGACTTCCTACTCATTGGAATGGACTGCTCTTGAGCTTGAAGAAGGTGATCCTTGAATATCAAACAGCTTTCTTGGGTCCCCCTTCCAAAACATAGTATAAAACTACTAATTTTGGATGAGACGAAAGTGGTAAGAACAGCCCTTTTATCTGTAAGTGTTGAAATTTGGCAAAGATCTTCTAATCTATTTTATAATAAATGACAATGTCTAGGGTACTTCATATCAGTGCAGTGGTACAGGTTAGTCATATAGCTGAATAAAATAATTCCTAAGTATTTTGCTATTTGTGGAATTCTTAGATCATATAAACCAGTTTATTTATATACAAAAAGACTTTTAATGGAAGTAAACAAAATATAATTTGGTTAGATTACACAGCAAAAACCAAACTGAATCAAATACAGAAAACCTACAGGTAAACACTGATATTGCTTTGACTGACAGAATATAACCTTTGTATCATTGAAACAGTATTCTTCAAGGGAACTTTTCTTTGTAGAAGGATGGGATTACTGCAGAATTATTATTACCACTGAGTACCTGCTGAATTGGAATGATAAATCTAAATGGTACTGTAAGGTTCTTCACAGGATATAGAGCACTGCTTCCGATAATTAATCTGCAAACCCACAACAGGCTGGCACTGTTCACACATTTTCTTAGCTGAATCAGTGGCCAGAATATTTCCCTTACTTTAATATAGAGTGTAATTGTCTTTGTTAAATGAAGGAAACATAATTTACCTTACCTTAAATTCATAAGCAAATAGGTCTATTGCATGATTCTATTATTTTTCAAAGATATTGCAAAAACCTGTAATAGCACTAACAAACTGAGCTCAACATGAAAGAATAGCAACCATGTCTGCAGAAGTCTATCTCGTGCACCTCAGAGTAACTTGATTACTTAAAAGCTGAGCTCTTGTAGTCACTCCTGCACCAGCCGGGAATCGAACCCGGGTCGCAAGAATGGGAATCTTGCATGATACCACTACACCACTGGTGCGCTCTCCTAAAAATAGGGCAACCAAATCACCTCTGTGCACAGCGCTGCACAGATAATTCCTGTTTTACACAGTCCTTAAATACAAAGGACCGTTAAAACACTGCAAATTTGACATGTAGAACGCTTAAAAATCACATACTTCATGACACATGAAGTTCTCCCTAATTAAGCACTTTTAATATGTCATCATGTCATCTTTTTACACCCTCCCTTTCCCCACACTTATTGTATGGAATTTTGGGGGTGTGTTTTATTTTAATTGTCAATGTACGTATTTTGTCTTTTATAGAACTTTAATTATTTTCTTTCAAGTGAAATTCAGAAAAGTTAGATGATAAATTTCAGCCTGAGGTTATTCGAAATCCTTGAAATGCTTAATTATAGACTTAAAATAAATGAAAGTTTCACTTTCATAAGCATGTTTTCAGTGAAAAAATAAAGCTTGCTTTCTATATTTATATATCGGGCATTACATATTTCCAATTATTTGTGATAACTCTTTCTTTTCTCTCTCAAGTTCTTCATTTTCGCATTTCAAACTGTCCAATGCTTCATTAATATTGAGAACATTTTGCTTTATATCCAGTAGATCCCTTTCCTCAGTGGATTTCTAACGAACATGAAAATATTATGAAATCTTTAAAACAAGTTCAAATTATTTCAGGCCAACACAGAAGATACAAATATGCAAGCCTTGTTATCTCATTTATACAAAAAGAATAATGAACTTACTAATTCTTCCACAGCTTTAACTACTTCAGAAGAAGCGTCTGATAGTTTTACAATTTCATCTCCTTGGGCAGCCATTTTATTATTCAAATCTTCTATCTAGAAAATATTTCATAAAGTAATACAAATATCTCCTGCATTTCCTGCATTAATTATAAACAATAATGTTTAATTATTGTTTATAATTAAACAATATATTTAAAAAATAAATTTCAAAGGAAGGCTATTAAAGAGTATTAGGGATACTTAATGCTATAGTATTCATATGCATGTTGTCATTTGCAATGTACCCTTGCAAAATATTTAGACTTCACAGTATCTGTAAGCACACACAGCCTCCTAATTCATACATGATGTATGTGGTATAATCAAACATAATACCTTTAGTTCCTCTAGGTCTCAAGATATTGATACAGATTCATGCAGAGATTCAAGGATAAATCACTGGATCTCAAGGGAAAATTTGGATGTTAGGGAAGCAAGCACCTTCAGGAAAAGGAAAACATCTGCAGTGGCTTTAGCTAGATAAAGGCAACACCTGCTCACATTGAGACTAATGAACTTTGTTTCCTTCACCTTTCCTTCCTCTGCAGAGGCTGAAACAATACGGCTATCCTCGCAATTTACCTATACAATTGCCATAGAGATAAAGGTATAACTCAAATATGACCAGACAACAAAAAAGTCCAAGCAGAATAAGGGTTGATAAGGATGTTAGAGTACAAATGTGGAAAGATCAGGACAGAATTAGAACACAGGTACTTTAAATGGCATGTAGTTTCCTACTGCTACCTCAAGAATCTGATGAAGAGCAGATTTCATAAGATACTTTTCGACTTGTCCTTACAGTGTCCAAAGTTGTATGAAACAAAGTTGTATGAAGTTCAAAAACCAGCATGATTTAAAACAAGAAATAAAAAAGCCAGGGGAAAAAATGCAGGAATATACTAGTTTACATCATCAAGTCTGTCTTCAAACTTGTTGATGTACATGACAACTGTTGTGTTATAATTTGGATCCAATTCAAACCCCTCTGAAGTCAATGAAAATAATCCCAATGTTTTCCTGATTTCCAAAGTAACTCCATTATCCCAGTAATATTTCTATGATGATCAAAAGAATCACTTTGAGATTTCTGAAAATCCATCACTAAAGATTTACCCAGTTAGCTGTTTCTGAAGGAAATTGGCAATAACAGATGAGCTTTATGCTAAACTTAACTCTGGCTCACCTTTAGCAAACAAAGGTGGTCACCGAATGGAGCAGTTTCATGCTCCACCTTACCCCTGTTGCGTATTTCTCTCTTTCCCTGGTGTTGATCTTAATACATAAGTAGAACTTACTGAAATTTATTGTGTCAGCAAACCCAGCTGGAAACATCCAGAAAGAAAACATAAAAAAAAAAGTAAGTACTGGGTCTATTTGAAAACAGTGGTTTTCTAGATATCAGTAATGGGAAGGAAATTGTAATAGCTGGAAACAAAAGGCAAGAAGATGCCCATTCATGGGTGTCTAATATGACTGTATCTTTACTTCGGTTGGGGGTGTGCTTCACAATTCTTGTTAAATTCTGGGCATGCTTGGTAGATCCAGCTTCTCAAAAATACTCTATCTAGATTCTGGATTCCATTGGATCCTTAGCAGGACCTAGCTATCTAGATGCTCAAACCACAGCAGGACTGGGCATGTACAAGAGAATGGATGTCATACTTTATTTATACTTGTATACATACACACATATACACATAGATATAAAAAAATAACAAGTTCTGTTGTGGTCATCTAAATCCTCGTTCCACATAGGAAGCTAATAAATAACAAAAACTCCTAGTCAGACACAGTGAGGAACTCCAGTTCAGATTTTAACCTGCCAAAGATCTCAAAATGAATGCTAAACAAATATAGCAGTAAACAGGGGAATTTTAAGTTAAATAGGGTATCGCTATGTATGCTGTAAAAGTGCATCATGTGCCACCTCAGGTCAAAAAATCTACTAATTCAAGAGGAAACTTATGCTGTCTGCACTTTCTTCCAGATGATTAAAGAAGATAAGAAATATGAAGCAGATATGAACCCAAAACCTAAAAATATCCAGGTGAATTAAAAGAATGTAAGATGTTTATGATATTTTTAATAATTAGAGCTGAAAAATATTACAACAAAATAATGAATATGAGAGTTCTGCAGAATCTACCACTTATTTTAAAATCTCTATTTGTATTTTTACTTTTACAAAGGACCTTAACTCTTAAACATACAAAATATTCAGGCATTCATGTACTTTTCAGTAAAAGATACTCATTTAGTTGCTTGTTTATAAATATTCAAGACTCACTTTGCTGTTCCAATATTCTGCATCTTCCTGGATTTCTGCTTTTTGCTTCACTAACTCCTCAAGGTGTTTTTCATCCTTTATAATCTTCTTCTCTGTTTCTTTTAACTTCATACAGTATTCGGTCCAAATAAATTCAGACTGCTTTAACTCATTCCTAATAGAAATACACACAAAGTGAATCCATCTATTTGGAAATACTCCAAGGTAGTCCCTTTCCATAAAAGAAAATGTAAAGCAGATCTGAATTAGTAAAGATTTATTTTGGTTCTCTACTACATTTCTTGAACAGGTATGCATGAGAGAATTTCAAAATATCTAGCCTGGCAGACTCATGCAATCTCAGTCAGATATCAAAATTACTCACGCTACCAGTTTACTTGGATTTAAAGATGCCTGCCAACATTACAGCTTCTAATTTGACCTCTGAACAGGTATATGTATAGCTAAACATAAGACTTTGTTTCATACCTCACATGCTAATAAAAAGAAAAAATAGCAGCAAACTTCTTTCTCTGCTGGTGGTTAAATCTACTTCAGAGTCATCTTCACTTAATCCTCTGCACTGTCACTTTGTGGACAAATGTCATGTGTAGAGAAAATTTTTTACTGACATCAATTCCTCATGTTAAAGGAACTTGCAGACAGTAAGCAAGGTCATAGGAGGGGATAAGGACTTTACTTTCACTCTGAGTAACAGAGTTATCAGCATTATGAGAAAGAAAATTGGCCATAATTACTGAAAGGAATAATATTAACTACAACAGTAGTCATGAAAACACTTCTATGATAAGCTGTTAGGCCTCATTCTAGGCTGTGAACAGGCCTTTTGTTATAGCCATGGATTTGGTGAAAGGCAAAAGAGATAAAGGCGCATCAGGTTTTATAATGACTCTTGGTGCTTTACCATTATTTTTATTATTGTTTCAGCAGGCAGAAAAGAGGAGTTTCCTTCATGCTCCCCAGAGAATTATCTTTGTCAGTAACATATTCCAAAGCATGCCTTCAATGGCAAAATAAATCCACTGCAGCAGAACTAAGACCAACAGTTGAGTTTTAGAGACATCTATTGCATTATAACATAAAAGACCTCCTGAACAACCGTTGCATACCTTAACACAGTAAGACAACCAAAAACAATAATGAAAAGACTTCATCACTAATTCAAGAGCCACTCCTACAAGATTATTTGATAGACATTCTTCCCTTATTTGCTTCCAGGATTTCATTTAGTGATGTAGTAAAGATTTACCTTGCAAAGTCACATTCCAAATGTCACAGAATGTATATAACTTCAGTGTGAAACCTAAGACTTTGAAGACTTCAGTCTTCTTAGGTCCCATCACACATGGGAAAAAAAAAAAAAAAAGATACTTGGAACTATTCTAATGACAGACATGTAACAGGCATAGACTGCAATTTTTTTTCTCATATTACCTGTCAGATACAACTTTCTGTGCACAAGCTCATGGAAAATACATTACTACCAGCCACAGCAAGTATGTGTAAAATTAACAGTCTGTGCTGTGTGATTTACCCAGCCCCAGTATTTTACGTTTCATGCAATCTTCATCTTTTTTCTCATGGATGGCACAGAATATAAAGAAAAGAGTATCAACTGCAGAACAGTCTTTCAAGTCTGGGCCATAACAAATCTGTCTTTATCACTCCTGTCAATACCACATGTTATTCTAGTCCTCCTCAGATGGCAGCTGAAGTGTCTACATCCTCTGTAATGTAAGTATGACTTATTACCAGTCTAGCAAATGGCTGAGGGGGAAGAAACAGTAGGCCTGCTGAAGGACAGAAAAACAGTCTTCTACTCAGTGTTTTCCTGTAAAGGCTGCTATTCCTAAAAACACCACTATCATTAGCATTTTAAGTTTAATTCACATTTACACAAACAAAACAGGTTACAAGACGTGTAACAGTCTACACCACTGTCATGTGATATGGATAGGAAACCAATTAACTAGGTGAAACAAAAAAATGTACTTTGTATATTTCTATCAGTATAGATAATGAATTTCCAGTATTAGTTACCTATTGTTATTATCACAGGGATTTTCTTTACACTATGCCTTTTTTCAAAAGTACAAAGAGTTCCTTTAAAGCAATTTTAATGCACCTCAAAACAAAGGCACGTTACAGGAAAACACTCCACTTTCTTGCATATGAAACAATCCCAAGAACCTTGATTTCCACCAAGACTACCAAAAAAACCCATGAAAAGTGCCCACACTGCCCTACAACTGCTAAGCCTTATGTCATTGTCTGTGACCCAGTGTCAGAATTCTACCGGGAACTGAACAAAATCATAGAATCATACAATCATAGAATAGTTAGGGTTGGAAAGGACCTTAAGATCATTTAGCTCCAACCCCCCTGCCATGGGCAGGGACACCTGACACTAAATCATATCACCCAAGGCCTCGTCCAACCTGGTCTTGAACACTGACAGGGATGGAGCATTCACAACCTCCCTGGGCAACCCATTCCAGTTTCCCTAACAGGAAAGAATTTCCTTCTTATATCCAATCTAAACTTCCTCTGTTTAAGTTTGAACCCGTTACCCCTTGTCCTACCACTACAGTCCCTAATGAAGAGTCCCTCCCCAGCATCCCTATAGGCCCCCTTCAGATACTGGAAGACTGCTATGAGGTCTCCACGCAGCCTTCTCTTCTCCAGGCTGAACAGCCCCAACTTCCTCAGCCTGTCTTCATACAGGAGGTCCTCCAGTCCCCTGATCATCCTCGTGGCCCTCCTCTGGACTTGTTCGAACAGTTCCATGTCCTTTTTATGTTGAGGACACCAGAACTGCACACAATACTCCAGGTGAGGTCTCCCAAGAGCAGAGTAGAGGGGCAGGATCACCTCCTCCGACCTGCTGGTCACGCTCCTTTTGATGCAGCCCAGTATATGGTTGGTTTTCTGGGCTGCATCCTGCAGATGCATAAAAGACTATTCTGCATAAAAGACTATTAAAAAGTGAAGTAGTCAGAATGCAAGATGAAAAATTCTAATACTAATGAAAAAATGCAGAAGTAAGATTAAACCATCAATATTCATTGAAAAAATAGGTCAACAGCATAGCATCTCAAAATCCTCTATCTGTTGCTTTGATATATTTACAAATTATCTGAAAGGGCAAGGAGCAGTAAAATTAAAAGCCTGCATATAATGTGATTACAACAGGTAAGGCCAAAAAGAACTAAGAAACTGCAGAAAAATTTCAAGACAAGCTAAGTAACTGGAGAACAAAGGAGCACATACCACTTAATGTCTGAACTCAAAAGAAGTACAAGGTCAGAGAGATTAAGTGCACCTTAAAATTCTGAATTACCTGCATCAAATCAAGAAAGACATGTACATATTTCCACAAACATTTGGAAAGTCTAATCAACATTTATCGCAGCTAAAGAAGCTGAGAAGATGTTGGATTAAGTAAAAAATAGGATGCAAAGCATTAGAATAAAAAATAAGAGTAAGTCATCCCTGTTATCATCGTTGACATGGCTTAATTTGGAATACTGCCTGCATTACCATTAAATGCATTTCACAAAAGTATATCACAGAATTGAAAAGGAGTCATAAAATACATATATCTTCTGAAAGCACATTGAAAAGAAAGAACAAAGTGAAAATCCAAAGTCACAGAGAATACAGGCTAGTGAAGGAGGATCACAATACACAGCAATATGTATCATTGTATACATGTTAAGGGTTAGACTCCCAAACTACAGGAATTTGCCTGCAGGTGGACAATAATAAATTGCTGCTGACTACACTTTGTAAATATGAAGTGATAAGGAACAAAGTCTAATAGTAGGCATATGCTGGAAGAGTAAAAGATAAAGAAAGAACAGTGAAATAATATAATTTAACATTATTTATTCTGGTATTACACACCAAAAAACACCTCCAGCCATTGCGAACACTTCTTGGCCAGCAGCTAGTAATTCAGACTGCTTGATAGAACACTAAATAGGCCAGTGAAACTCAAAACTGATTTGCAGGGTATCTGAATACACGGCAATTAATCACATTGAATTTTTGGTAACACTTCTTACTCAAAACCTGTTATTTCCCATAATTAAAATCAACATGAGGTTTGCAATGAACTTAACCAATTACAGAATCTCAGTCCATGCTGTCTGATTTCTCTCAGCTGGAAACCATGGAGGAGCTAATGAGCATTTGATCAGATCATCTCTGTATCAATCTTTAAGCCATAATTAAATTTCCAAACATTGTGAAGACATTGTGAAGCTTGCATTCACAGGCTCATACCCATCAAAAACAAGAATTATTTTTTACTCTTCACACACCTCTCCCTTTATTTAGATACACTAGTGATTTTAATTGGAGAATCATATGGTAATTTCCAGGTGTCACTTCACTTTTGACACGTGTTGGTATTAAAGAATTCTGGTCTCAGGTTTTGTATAATATAATACTTGGGGTTTACCTATATTTTTTAATACAATTTTAATTTTCATATACTAATATTCTTTCTAGATTGTGAACTTGGCTCTGAAATGAAAAAAGTTAAGCTTTAGCTAACTCAGCATGTTGACTGTGAATTTTTACTCTTGGGGGTAATAAAATATAACTAGCATAAATACCTCTAATATAGTGACAAAATTATCATGAACTCAATAATGATACGACAAAGAAATTCACTGTAAAGGTTAGAATCAAAAAAAGGAAAAAATCAGACATGCTGACAAAAGAAACAAATCAGAGTTTTACTCATGTCTTTTAATTATGCCTGTAAACTTTCCTCATCTCAAGGGGAAAAGAGCCACTGTGTTGCTTGCTACTTTGCCAAACAAAACCTGGCAACTAACCGTAATTGAATACAACCTTCTACCAAACATGAAAGTACTTGGTATTCTTGTTCTTTGGCATAGTTATTCTTCATGCGGATTCTTGGGCTCTATGTTCAGCAAAGGAGAGTTGACTTATCAGTGACCGGCTATTAGTGGTGGCTTACAGTTATTTATAACTCTACTCGATAATTCAAGGGTTAATAATCTGGCAAGAGGTTACAGTGAGGAAACTGCAACATAAGACACTGCCATACAAAAGCTGCCTTGCAATCCAATAAAGATACAGAAAGTCTGTTGGCTTGATAAGCTCAAAAGCATGTGCTGTTGACTTGAATTGTTCTGTCTAATATGCAAGTTAAAAATTAAGTTACAACATAACTACAGTACCATGATAAGTGCTGATGTTCAATGAAAGTAATTTGTGCAGTCAATAAGAATGACAGCAAAAAGTTCTGTCAGATTAAAAATTCCTAAGTAAGTAATATAAGGTAAAATTGTATGCTTAAGGAGTCGATTCACAAATTTTCCATTTGGATGTAATTTTGGACATCACCCCTTCCTTATTGTCATGGTTCTGCTCATGGAAGCTAGGACAAACAAGGCAAACACTTCTTTTATGCATAATTTTATTGATATAAATAATTAAATAAACCAGAATTTATAATTATTTCTAAAAGCAATTTTCTATCATTTCCTTGTTAACATTAAAACTAACAGGACATTATAATATCATACTTAACAGCTCTTACTTGCATTGATGCAATAGCATCTCAGCACATTCAGTTTCCTCAGACATAGATTTTATCTTCTTTTCAGATTCTTCAGCAATTACTTTCATAGTCTTTTGAATTTCCGTGTGTTCACAACAAACATCACTATATAATTTTGATGCCTAAGAAAATAAAACAAGTTTTCTGAAGGATGTTAGATAAAAATTGTCTGTAATGTTTAAAATAAAAAGTTATTTGAAGATTTCTCTGATTATTTGCAGTTTGATAATTGAAGTTTAACGTTGAAGTAGTACTTTGTGATGTCATGCAACTTAACAACAAATTTTGCATTGTCTGCAGTACAGACAATCCTAGGTGAAGACAACAGGATGTGTTGTAATATTGCCTAGCATAAGAAAACATTAGCAAGAGGTCTTTCACTCTGTTACAAAACTTTGAAGTTACTGTGAAAAGGTGGCTACTTCCATAGGAAAACAGTGACCTCTGGAGCAGAAAGAAAGAAATAATGTTGAAAGAAGCCACTGAGATTTCATTCAGTAATCTGACAAAATCATTACTTAAACAGCTCCCAGAGAAGTCACTTATGTAAAGAGGGGCTTCAGACAGTGCAGACAATGAACACAATTTTCAGTGGTATAAATAGTATTGGGACACTCAGTTCCCAGCAACTCTCAAATAGAGATATGAACATCTCTATTGTCTCTGCTTTTTAAAAATATTACATATATTAAATAGTAGCATGACAGAAAATCTTTATTATAATCTAGCACCTCACTGCTCAAACTAGCTCTCTGGATATCAAAAGCTAGAGATTCAAAATCAAATAATTGCTTTAATTGCAAATAAAATTAATGATCAGCTGCTTTTTTAAGGCCATGGGAGGAAAAAACAAACCTTGGTAACAAACAGCATAGAAATTAGAACAAAATAAAAGGAATAAATAATTTAATTTACAATTAGAAATATTAAAATGTTGTTGAAATGGATTACATAAATAAGTTACAGTAACACCAATCTATCTTCTTGCAATAAGTAGTGTCACCTTTTGGAAAGGAAAATGAAAAAAAAATCTGTGGGGAAAAAAAGTATTTAAAATAGGTTTTATAAAAAAAAAAAAATTTGTCTACTTTCTAAGTTGTATTTTAGCACACGTTAATATTTTAGCTGCATACATCATCTTCTGAGACACTGTCAAGAAAAAAGAGTACAGGATTAAATGCCTAAACCCCAACTTGATTATAATTAGCCAGTATTTTGAACATATCTCCTAACACTGATAAAATTGTTAGCTATTTCATAGGTCACACCTAACTTATGGTTATTCTCATACTATTTGTGTGATAGGCAATTAACTTTTTAATTTTAGAAGTATTTTTACATGACTGTTGAGGCCTCAAAATATGAGTTTAAAATAAAAGAAAGTAAAATAAACAATACTTATTTAGAATCACTTACAACCAAAGACCATTTTTAGACTGTAACTACCTTGAAAAAGGTACTAATCTCTAGGTCTGTATTTAGAAGTTACTATACAAAAATATATAGAAAACATAATAATTAGTACTAAAATCTGTACTTGAAATAACACAGTATCTCTTGCTTTTTTAGACTTCAATTTTAAGGTATTTATAACTTTGATATACTTTGATAACTCAGCCTGACATTATCCACATTAGGTATTTATTGTCAACAAAAATTATTATCAACATTATTATCAATAAGTACAATCAACAAATAAGTAAACATGTACATCAGCACTTAAAAAAAATTAAATCTTTAAAATATTTTTTGACAGCCTCTAACATCTCAGTATTCTGGAACACTGATGTCTGTAAGAAACCTGAGAAGAATCTATGCAGATACCAGATATGTGCCTTCTACTTTTCTGTGAAAAATCCCCCATGAAATCAACTTACAAAGTTAGAATTACATTCCATATATGTAGTGAAAAGATTCTAAAAGAAACATCTGCTTGAGGTTTGTATTTACCTTTTCATAAACCAGCGACATATCCTTCACAGCTTCACCCTCTAGATTCAGCTTTTCTTCCAGCAGATGGCTGTGTTTCTTCATCAAGTCTATATCCTCCTGAATCTTTCTGTTGTCTGTTTCTATTGGAAGTATTTGGTTTTTTATCTGTTGCAGCTGACGTCTTTTACAAGAGATGCCATTGTAGCTCCAAGATATCTTGAGCACACAGATCATACTCTGTTAAAAAGGTAATTAGCATAATAAAATGTTAGTATCTGTGTGACACCATAAATTCCTAGTGAGATTAATAAAAACATTGTCATAATACTTGCAAAATTTTGCTGTAAATCACTTTGAAGGCCAAAAGAGGACATTGGTTACGAAAGACATCAGCTATAAAAGTATAAATATTGCATTAGCAGTGGAACTGTTTTTAAATTCATGCTTAATAATCTTAGTAGGTAATTTAAGCAGATCTTCAAAGCAAGGGGTGGTCTTGTTTTTACAAAGGAAATTAAAACATCTAGCCTTAAGGCATATCTTGAGGAGGCCATTATAAAACAAGAACAGCTCTACCGAGCTTCCTAGTCTCCAGCAACAGACACACACAGTATGTTAGAGATTGGAAGGGACCTCGAAAGATCATCTAGTCCAATCCCCCTGCCGGAGCAGGAACACCTAGATAATGTTACACAGGAATGCGTCCAGGCGGGTTTTGAATGTCTCCAGGGAAGGAGACTCCACAACCTCCCTGGGCAGCCTGTTCCAGTGTTCCGTCACCCTCACTGAGAAGAAGTTTCTTCTCAAGTTTAAGTGGAACCTCTTGTGTTCCAGTTTGTACCCATTACCCCTTGTCCTATCATTGTTTGCCACTGAGTAGAGCCTGGCTCCGTCCTCGTGACACTCCCCCTTTATATATTTATAGACACTGATAAGGTCACCCCTCAGTCTCCTCTTCTCCAAACTATAGAGACCCAGCTCCCTCAGTCTTTCCTCATAAGGGAGATGCTCCACTCCCTTAATCATCTTAGTTGCCCTGCGCTGGACTCTCTCCAGCAGCTCCCTGTCCTTCTTGAACTGAGGGGCCCAGAACTGGACACAATATTCCAGATGCGGTCTCACCAGGGCAGAGTAGAGGGGAAGGAGGACCTCTCTCGACCTACTAACCACCCCCCTTCTAATACACCCCAGGATGCCATTGGCCTTCTTAGCCACAAGGGCACAGTGTTGGCTCATGGTCATCCTGTCGTCCACTAGGACCCCCAGGTCCCTCTCCCCTACACTGCTCTCTAACAGGTCATTCCCCAACCTATACTGGAACCTGGGGTTGTTCCTGCCCAGATGCAGGACTCTACACTTTCCCTTGTTATATTTCATCAAGTTACTCCCTGCCCAACTCTCCAGCCTATCCAGGTCTCGCTGGATGGCAGCACAGCCTTCTGGCGTGTCAGCCACTCCTCCCAGCTTAGTGTCATCAGCAAACTTGCTGATAGTACACTCAATTCCCTCATCTAAATCATTGATGAATATATTAAATAATACCGGTCCCAGTACTGACCCTTGAGGCACTCCACTAGTTACAGGCCTCCAACTAGACTCAGCCCCATAGACTACAACTCTCTGGCTTCTCTCCTTCAGCCAGTTCGCAGTCCACCTCACTACCTGATCATCCAGTCCACACTTCCTCATTTTAGCCGTGAGGATGCTGTGGGAGACTGTGTCAAATGCTTTGCTGAAGTCAAGGTAGACCACATCCACCGCTCTGCCATCATCCATCCACTGTGTTATTTCCTCATAAAAGGCTAAGAGATTGGTCAAACATGATTTCCCCCTGGTGAAGCCATGTTGACTGCCCCTCATAACCTTCTTATCCTTGATATGCCTTAGATGGTACCAAGGATAAGGTGTTCCATCACTTTCCCAGGGATGGAGGTGAGGCTGACCGGCCTATAGTTACCCGGGTCCTCCTTCTTGCCCTTTTTGAAGACTGGAGTGACATTTGCTTTCCTCCAGTCCTCAGGCACCTCTCCCGTTTCCCAAGACTTGGTAAAGATGATGGAGAGTGGTCTAGCAATGACTTCCGCCAGTTCCCTCAGCACCCGCGGGTGCATCCCATCTGGACCCATGGATTTATGGATGTCCAGATTGCTCAACTGGTCTCTAACCCATTCCTCATCGACTAAGGCAAACCGCTCCGTCGACCTGACTTCATCTAAGGTCTCAGGGGTACAGGGCTCTTCAGGACTGCCCGCAGCAGAGTAGACAGAGACAAAGAAGGCATTCAGTAACTCTGCCATCTCTTTATCTTCTGTCACCAGGGCACCCATCCCGTTCATCAGTGGGCCTACATTGCCTCTGGTGTTAGTTTTGTCTGCCATGTATTTAAAAAAGCTCTTTTTGCTGTCCTTGACCCTTCTTGCCAGGTTTAATTCTTTAGTTCTACTCTGTAGATTCCTACTAAATATGTAAGCATTTTGTTAAAATTTATCACATTAATTTTTCTCAAAACAAATTTATTTTTTTACTTGTGTTTTAATCTACGGCTTAACTCAAATGCATTATTTTATAATTCTGTTTCAGCTTGTCATTTCTTGCCCCAAAGATGATTTATTATCATCTTAAGAGTGTCTTGTCTGCTCTTCTGCTACGTCGAAAACAATGCTGAACATTCCATAGTACTTTCCTTTCCTTTTTTTTCCAGCTGTTTATTCAAGCAAATTCAAAAGAGCAAATACTGTACTTGTGTTACAGTAAGCACAACTATAGTCATATCATAATTCTTATTCTTGGTAATAAACTGACTGAAAAATAACAAATATTCTTATTTAAATACCAATACCTTTTTGCATGGCTGCAGGGAGCTGCTGAAGCCTCCAAAGTGACAAGCAATCCATTTTCACGCTAAGCTTTTTCCCTAGCTGTTTTTCCAACTCCAAAGCTTTTTCTGCCTCCTCACTATCAGCCTCCAGTCACTTAATTAGCTGAGTAACACCCAATAGCAAAGCTTCTGTTTCCTTCTTCAAGGTTAATGCCTTGCCATCTTTAAAAATACATTAAAAATATTTTTTATGAAAGCTTAATCATATGCTCTTTATTCAAGCTTCGTTCTCAACGCAGAGTTGGTCCGTTCACATCTATAGCAGTAAGAACAATTGGTTATATTTATGTCTTTAAAAACTACATAACAATTTTTTCTTATGAATGCTTAAACATACACTGTTTATTCTTACTTCTTTCTCAACATAAAGCTAGCCTCTTCACATCAAGACAAGCACAACTGGTTACAAACAAAACTTTCACACCCAATAGCATTTTCCTCTGGCTTATTTCCAAAGCAGAATGTATAAAAATGTATGCATGTAGATAGTACAAATTTTTCATCTTTGCCTCATTGTTTGGGTAAGTAATCATCTAAATAATAGTACAAGTTCCTAATTCTCTCAACTTTTTGAAGAATACATTTTATTTTCCTAAGTATCAATACCTTCATTAAAGTCTTTGGAGTTCTAAGAATATTCAGTATAATATCTCAACAACACAGTTTTACTCATGATAGAAATAATTTCATTCTGTGAAATCTGGGTGTCAAAAAATGCCTCAGTTATTTGTCTTGATAAAAGATTTTTTGAGGTCATCATCCATTGTCCTGATCTATAAAAAACAGTTATTATGTGAACTACAGAGTCCAAGACATTTCCACTTTGATTCCACAGTCAACAATTCCCTAATTTTTTTGATTAAAAACTGCAAAAAGAAGAAAAATTACTTAAAATCAGGAGTGAAATTGTGGCTTCGCTGTGATCAACAGAAATTTTATTACACCATTTACTGTGGACAGGATTGCCTCAGGCTAGTAGTACTTAAAAGGTTGCACACTGGCTTAAAAAAATTGCCCACGATTTCATGAATATTTAAAACTTTATTAAAAATTGTATAATCAGAGTAAAGATGCAAACTGTAAAAACAGAACTCGATGTTGGGAACACATTGTGACAGCAAAGCAGTTATCTGTTTTACAAAAACTAAATGGAAAAAAAAATCTAGAATTTCCAACAACCGCTATAAATAATTTGGTTGGTTCAAAACCTAGATGGATTAAAATACAGTATGAATCTAAATACAGAAATGTAAATTATCTTCTTGCAAACAGGATGATTTAATAGTACTTATTATAACATTTTAGCTTGACAGATGATTGACAACTGATACACACAGATTTCAAAGGATACTCACATCATTTACATAAGACTTTGAGAAGGCAACAAGCACCTATTATTGCAAATGCAAAGCATATATTAAATGAGGATAAGTAACTGTTACAACTCAGACTGAGTATTATGAAATATTTTTACCTTCACAAGATACATCAGCTTCTTTAAAATCCAATTTGGTGGATAATGATAACCAGCTATCTTCAGTAGAGTCAGCACTGGCCTGTTTTGTTACCCTATAGAAAAAAGCTACTGTAACTAAAAAAATTTAGACTTAATTTAAATTAGCATTGTTAAGTAAATATTACTTTCACTAAGTCAAAATTTCCTTTCCTGAATTTTACACATGAAGTGCTGGCTAGTTAAATGAAATAATTTCAAGTCATGCAGAAGAATTATTAATTCTATGAAAAGAAAATCATGTAAAATGCTTTTTTCATATTTCTTTACAGAAATACAAGAAACAGATTTCTTTACATATTGTACTTACACAGATCCTCAATTTTTGTTCTTATACCTAAGGATTTGCCAAAGAGAAACTGTTGCAGAAAAGCTGTTACTCTTTCCAAGTTATATACATACAGAATATATATATGTTATACATATATATGTTATATAGACACATATGGAATACATATATGTTATACTTTCCACTCTTCGAAGAGCAGATGCATTTAGTACTGTATCTCTGAGTGTCACTTGAGGGACGACAATGAGGAAAAAATGTCTTTTAGACATACGAAGGATAAACAACCCAGGCATAAGGATTAATCAGTTTCTAAGAGACAAGTGTTTGAAATCTGAGAGGCTTAAAAGCAGAGATGAGGCAGGCTTCATTAAAATGAGATCAGGACAAATTTAACCTGCAAGTGAAAGGGGGAAAGAAGTAGCACAAGTAGCTAAAGAAGAACACAAGCAAATCATAGCTGTCATGTGAACTTAAAAGGCTCATTGGCTTACTGGAGATGAGAACAAGGAGAAGAATAACCACCACCTGTTCATGCCCACGTGTGCAGTTTAAGGAGCACATAAAGGTTCTTCAGATGCAGCTAAGAAGAAATCTGCAGTGACAGTACTACATTGCACGTATATGCATAATGTGAACACATATATTTGAAAGAACTCCACAAAAATGTTCCTTTTCCATAAGGAGGACCAGACAAAAAAACTATGCCAAAAGCAGACTGAAAGAAATACTACTGTAGCCTTCCTACATCAACAGAAAATACATTTAAAGTACAGGGAATAGAAAAAAAATCTGTGAGCAGTCACAGAAAATAGTAAGGCACTGGACAGGAAAACTGGGACCTGGTGTCAGAAGAGATACCAAATTAAGATACAGAAGCAGGAGTTTGATAAACAGGAGTTGGATAAGTAGGAAAACAAAATCAAAACAGTCAGGACAACAAGCTCAGTGCATGAGATGTTCTCCCCTTCAAGCTCCTCTTTTAATCTTTATAACTAGAACTACATCATAAAGTACCCCGCATCATGAATGATACAATTTGAAGTCACACATTCAGACTTACTCTGTGTAATTTCTGAGTACTTGGCTTTGAAATGCATTGTATTGTATTGTGTACTAGTCTGAGTTCTTTAGTGTATTTTGAAATAGATGCAGACAATATGCAAAATTTAGAAAAAAAAAATAGCTTGAGTTTTATGTTTTGAAATTACATTTTAAATCTATCATCTTTAACAACTCATTATATATATTCTAGATATTTCCAGTGAAAACATCGAGAAAATAAACACAGTTCTCAAACTCATTATTTTTAATGCAGTTGGTATGTTCTGTTTTGATTTTAACAAGAATCTTTCTTGCTCTCTGACTATAAGGATACATAGTTACAAACACTATACAGGTGGTTCAAGGGAATTTTGTCACTTAAATACAGTTTTTTTAACTAAACCTAAGTAAGTGTCAAACTACACTGAAAACACAAAAAATACTCATTTAATAAGTATCTTAACAGTATGAAGTATAGGAAAACCAAGCAAGAAAAAATGAAAAAAAAATTGGGATCTTTTCCCCATCTTATTATAGCATTTGATGAATTAATGGCCACTTCATTCAAGCGTTTTTTCTACTCCCTTTTCTAATGACTATTGTCTCTCTGTGTCTAGCCAAGCTGAAATGAGAGTAAATTTGACCCTTGATGCAAATTCAGAAAATTATACACCATATTTAGAGAAATTCACAAAGACCACAGTAAGTATACAGAAACATTCAGCATGCTTATACATCATGTTCCAAACTTCAAGCAACAAGAGCTTAAAATAATACCCTTACCCATATTTAGGTACCTCAGATAATTGGTAGAATTGGTACAATTTCAGAAGTATGAATAACTGAACTTTTATTAACAGAAATTCATCACTGTGGTGGTCCTGAGACCTGTGATCATCTTGAATCTTTGAAAATTAAACACTGAGTAGGAACGACATGAGAAATTCCCCATAAACACTTTTGGTCTTTTGAAGTAACTAGATCCTACAGACACTAGGAATGCTTATATTAGATGCATTCTATGTAACACAAGAGCTTAGCAAAAAGTCTGCTATGTGAACAGACTAATTCTCATCAAATAACTATCTGACATTAAATGCATTATTTTGTATGACTTTGTATGTATGATTCTTACCATGGTGTTTTCTCCTCCTTAAACACATAATCATACTGCAAAAGCAAAACATAAACTCCATTATACATCTCAGATGTTACACACTTTTTCCATTTTCTGACAAAAAGCCTAATAGACCACTGACATTTATATCAGAAGAGGATTTAATTAGGGTACATACGGATCAAAGCTTTTTAACATTTTAAACTAATTATAAAGCTTTTGAATTCCTAAAAGCTATGTATCTCCAAAAGGTTGGTAATAAACCCCAGGTTTTGTACATAAGTGCTACATTGCTCAATTTTGTAATTTATTTTAATCTCTTTAATTTTTAAATCTCTGCTAATTCTATTTTTACTCAGCCTCTGTACTTTTTTAAAATCTTAAAACTCCAACAGAGATTCTGCCTGAACTTCTCATATTTTTTCTTCTATGTCTCCACCAGTAAATCAAACACAGCCTGAGAAGTTCTCTGGGCCCAGCAACTTGAACACCTACACCATTAAACTGGTACTAAATCTCACTGGTACAACCTGTGGAAAAGGAAATTACCACATTTCCAAATAATTTCCAAACAATTTCCAAACACAATTCAGGAACTGGAAAGGGTCAGAGACCATTCCTCAGAAGCAGTGCACATAACGCCTATCCTGTTTTGAAAGATAAGAATTTAAGAGTATGCACATGAGGTTTTCCATGTCAACTGGACACATTGCTGATAATACTTAACTTACTAGCAGAGTAAATAAATTCAGATATAGACAAGTGAAATCCAAATTCTATATATTTGTAGTGTATTCATTTCAGTATATATGCCTAATTTAGATTAAGAGCATTAATGAAATACTCATACTATGGCAACTTCACCTTTTCTCCTCTTATTTCATCGTTATAACGATGTCACCATCTAGAGGCCTCAGACTATTTTGAGTCCCTGTATATTAAGTAACAACACCTTAAAAGAGATGTGGAAAATATGCACAAGATTTACAGAAATAATTTAAGCTAACATTAAAATGAAGAAACATCTGGACATGTTAATGCTTATCCACCTAATTCATCATGTATATTGATGACAAAATCATCATATTAAAAACATTTCACTGTTTCACATTATTTTAAAGAAAGGTGAATGAGGCAATGTAAAATTTCCTATCAAATTAATGTCTAGACTGTGAATCAAGATATGACTTTAGTTTATGCACCTTGGATTCTTCTAGCATCTATGCTGCAATTGCAGAAATCTCCCTGCAGAGTATTTAACAGTGTTTGCGGAATACTAATCTAAGATAGTTTTTCTGATGTGCTGCTATGACAACATTATTGTCGGTACTGGAGATAAATTATTTAAATATAACTTGTCTGTGCAAGCAGTGATCAGATCTTCTTACTGCACTGTAGGTACATGCAAAATTTATTAACATTCGGAAAACACTTCTCCAGTAAAAGTGAATTATTAAAATGATGCTAATTATGTTCTCAAATAAGTTAATGGAAATATATTACTATACTTTAAATTGGCATATATTGCCTTCTTTCTTAATCTACCTACCCTTTTTTTTTTATCTTTCTTTTATTCTTGTTTCTATTTACACAAAATCTATATAAGCTAGGGAAGCATCATGGGCTGCTAAAGAAAGAACTACAGCATTTTCAAATTCATGTCTGTCAATATGAGAGTAAAGGAAACAAGGAATTGTTAAGTACGGTTCAGGAAGAAAATATAGCTTACTATAAATGACAGAAAATGGCACACAGCTCAATTTGACTATCTACTCAAGATTTGTATCAAAAACTATTTTGCAGGCAGTTGATATTATTGAAGCAACTTCACTTTCTGTGCATCTGAATTGTCATATATGAATTTACTTATCTTTACGATATATTGATATTACATTATGATATTATGGTATATTGACTTTAATAAGACACTTTGATTTGCTAAAACTGTTAAGTAGATTAAAAACATATCATGAGTTGTACATGCATCTCCTGGGCACTATTCTGGATAGTACATATGACATGAAATTAAATCTTTATAAAAATCAACATAGTAATCCTGTTTAGAAATGTACTTGTTCCTATAAGATCAAAAGCACTTGACCATTTTTAATCACAAACGTACCTGTTGAAAGTGATTCGCCATCTTCAATTCTAACTCCTGAATGTGACAAATAATTTTGTTAATATAAGGTAATGGAGTATTTACAAAAGCAGAGCCATGATGCCTTGGGGTGATCCATTCACTCTTGTCTGGAAAAGGAAAGAGAATCCAGAAGGCTGATAAACTTCACATGTGGGATGAAACCAGATTTTCTCATACCTGATTTTACTTCTTAAATTTGGAACCTGGTAAGCTTCTGCCTTGAAATTGACTAAGAGAATGTAACAGCTGTATCTCTTACTAAGCACAGTTTTGCACAAAACGTTACTCCTTTTTAAATACAACCTCTCAAATACAAGGAGATTCCAAAATGCTCGAAAAATATGAAGGAATAATTTCAAAGACATGACATATCATAAAGGGAGCTACAGTCTGACTGTATATATATATATATATATATATATATATATATATATATATATATATAAAACTAATTATACAGAATTAATCCCAAATAAATATATTTTGGTGATTTTACACTAGTCCTAAGCAAGAATTTTGCCCAAACAGAAAAAAATAATATCAGAAACTAAAAAGGGCAATGGTGGCTTCTATATAGAAACACACAGAGCAAAACAGAAAAGTCACAGGGCCTTAAAGGCTATCTTGTAAGACTACTCTTATGTACCTAATACTTGGTTCCAGCAAATATTTGTTTCGACCTCATGAAGGGATGAAATTCCAGAACAGTAATTCCCACACCGGGAATTTCAAGCTACATGACATAAATGGACTGTTTTACGAGAACATGCAGATTTCAGAATTATGTTTTCTTTAAACTCTCTTAGCCATATAATCACATAAATAAATGATACTGTGGCACATTATTGAATGTTGACTATTTAATTAACACACAGAATGGGAATCTGACTGCACAGGTCACTAATGAAAGGTGACAGGAACAAGACACTGAAACCTAGCAATAGAGCTATTAAAAAGTCTAAGGCGCTGTCCTACAAACATGAAACAATAACCCAATTATGTTCAGGGGGATACAACTGCTTTAATGTTCCTTGGAGATGAACCAAAAATAACAATCACAGTAATAGAGATTAAACTGTAAAATAGAACCAGACAACCTTCACATACAGTATGCAGATTTGGTTTTTGTTTTGTTTTGGGCTTTTTTTTAAAGAATAATCTCAGTGTTTTAATTAAAGTGTTAGCCTCCAACATTAAAAGTCTGTATTTTACATAAGGATCTTTTAACTTAACATTATCGTAAGCATCGTCACTGAAATGGAAAAGATAGTTTGCAAGATTTGCTTGAAAAGACAGCCCACTAAAATGGATATCAAAACCTGTATCACAGAATCTGTTCTGCCAGTTTCTAGAGCAAGAAAGCTTCACTGAATGGCTACACAGCACAATCCTAACAAAGCATATATCGACTCTGAAACTTTCTTGCACTTTGAAGCACAACACAGTTCAGATTTTGAGAACAATATTAATTTCACTTAGTTGTTTCTACTATTATTATTCTTAACTATTACTAAATTAACATCAATATTTTAAAAATTATGTGTAGTTTCTTTACATCACTAGTGCAACTAACAATACATCCATTAAAAAAAAAATGGATTTTTTTTTAAGAGCTTTAACAAAAAAAGATTGCTCTGTTACTGCTTTGGCTTTCCTTGGCAAACATTTTTATTTCTAAGTCTTCTAAAACTTTTGTGAAAGAAAGCCAGAAAAATTATATTCAAGTTTAAAAATTAAATTTAAAATAAAAATTAAATTTAAAATAAAAATTAAAATGAGAAGTGAAATACAGCCAATTTTGTTTTCAGGTAGAAAACGGAACTATCATTAGAGGATGGAGTGACAGCAGTAAGTCCATGACTGACATTTGAAGTCTACAGATGCACCATTTGCATGGTTTTTCCAGCAGCGTGGCAGATGGGGACCAAGAAAGAGGACTAGTGTTAAAAATATTACAAATACAAAATATAAAATAATTTCTTTTGTCTTATAATTCATCCCTTCATTAACCTATTTGCAAAATGTATAACAGAAGATGTACCTGACATACCTTGGGATGGCCCATCACTGACATCAGAAGAAAATGAAAATGATGATGTTTCAGACATTTTTGCTGGTAGCACTTTTCAGCCTAATGATTAGAAAAATAATAATACATATATACATACACACATGCACATTTTAAAAACTCTTATTTTCATCAGAAAAAAAAAAGTATTCCATCAGTGATACATCTACAGTATTCTTAAAGGATAGCAACTCCATTGTCACTTTTCCTACTAAGGGAAAAGGAGCAACTAAACAGTGCTCTCACAGTGGATCCTATTTAAGTAAGGAAATTAGTTAGAAAGCCAATGAAAACCAAGACAACCAAATTTCAACCTATGTGACCTGGCTTTTTAATTTTTTTCAATTAAATTTTCAATTTAAATTTTAAAATACAGGTTATTTTGGAACCTATCATAACAGTAGTAACCAGCACTACCTGGAAAATTGTGAAAAGCAAAATGCATAACCTATGAGATAAATTTAATTAACAAACTGCCAACAAAAGGGAAGCCCATAAATCTGTAGTCTGTAACACTGTCATCTCAATGGACAGATGACATGGAAGAGAAGAAAATAACTACTTATTTGCATATAGACTTCTAACTCAGGTTTACTATAATAAACAAATCTAACATTATTTATTTGTAATTTACATAATTCAGAAAGCCAATACTGGCTGAAAACTTAGATAGTTAAGCCCCAGGGTATCTAGCTGAGGTTATTTACCAAAATATTTTTTCACCCTTATAATTCATCTTTTGACAAATAAATGTATTGCCATACAGAGATCCAGGTGGAGACTTCCTGGACTGTGTAATTTGCGTGTTAGAGAAGTCCACAGTAAATTGTGGTTTCCAGCTATTATCAACTTACAAAAACCGTCCAGTAAAAAAGAAAAAAAATCCCAACACCTCTATTAAGTGTTCATCAAGAAAAAATACTAGAAAAAAATACTGCATGAACTATAGATTTTAGCATTCCACATATTTTCTAAGTAGTACTATTACAAAATAGAGAAATGTTTATTCCAAGCTGTCTGAAACAAAAAATAGTTGCCTAAGATTCCAACTAGACAGCCAGTCAGAGAAGAGTGAAACTGAAATACACTATTCACACTCCCCATGCCTCAATTTATTGATCCAAAAAACTCAAACTCAAGCCTGTTCCAAAGAAATATTAGATGAATCTAAGTGTACCAAGCTTGCCAAAAGAAATGCTGAATCCACAGCTGATCTCCATGAACTTCTATGCACTGCAATGCAGTCACCACCACTAGTGCTCTGTTACCATAACAAACTAATTAACTTGGAAACTCTGAACAATACCAACAAAGCCTTTCAAGCTAAAGCTATAGAAGGTATTTTTTTGAATTAAATAAAGTTCATAATACATATAATAAAGCTTCAAATCACCACATTTTCAGCTATGTAACTCTCCTCAGGAAATGTATGGAAAATGTATTATATAAGCCATTCTTGCATGTCATTTGAACATTAGTACATATTTTTTTCAAGTTTGGTGGCTTTTTGAATTTTATGAAACAATTATTTCCAATGGAGGGATCTAGTGTTGTTCAAAGAAATAAGCTGATTTGGCAAGTAGGAATTTTTAGCATTATCTGTGCCAGGATGTCAGCTTCTTGGACAACGCAAAACAAAATTCTACTCGTAACAGGCTCATCCTGACAGTCAGACCAGATGGACGACATTAGTTCCAACAAGGAGTACAAAAGAAAACAAAACTCATAGGAATTCAAAGAAAATAAGTATCGACAGACAGAATAGCTCTAGAGAAAGGAGGAAAGATGAGAAAAATACTGCGTAAAAAAGGATGAAATCCAGAAGAAAAGCTTAAGAAATGGTTTCAATTTGTTGTTGCTTATATAGTCAGTAATATATCTGGAACAAGTTATGAACAGACTATTATGTGATATGCAAGCATGAGTTAACAGAAAGTTGAGAACATCACTTGCTTGATAAGGAATCATATACACAACACAAAGATGCATTTAACTGTACCTAACAATGTATGTGGGAAAAATATATTGGACAAATTGGCAGTTGGTGACAAAAGCAGTATTTCATGGAAAGAAAATTAGCACATAGCTCATTTAGTATCTGTTGAAAATCTTAGCCTCAATGCATATAAATATTAGACTCCTTATCTTCACAGTTATGTAGTTATCAAAATCCAAATTAAAAAATTTCTTTTATACTGTCCTATTCATATAAAATAAATCAAACCCAGTGAGTTACACTCACAATTCTGTAATATATAACTATGACCTTCAGGAAATGTTATTCTGCACAAATTGTTTTACAGAATTCAAACTAATTTTCTCATTCTAACAAAGATAACCACTACATTAGTCATACAGTATACCTTTTCAAAGGCATTGTATGCTTCTCCATAAAGAAGAGAAAAATGGCATTTCTTTCATCGGGTATGTGTGTATATATTTATAAAAACATATGTACATTGCATATATTATTAAATAGGACTATAGCTAAAGTCAACACACACAGTATTTTCATTACTTTATTGGCACTTTTCTATAACACAAATAGTTTCTGATTGGCTAAACATAATTTTCTAACACCAATTTATCAAATAGAAGGATAAGAAATTAACAAAGTTTTTGTTAAAAGTAAAATCCTCAATAAATATTTTGCAATTAAAAAAACCCAGAATCTAGATGTTAGAATTTCTATCTACCTAACATGAACTATTACTACTATTTCTCATCATAAATGCCATTCTCCAGGCAGATTCCTGGGATATTCATAAATATGCTTAACAAAAAGCTTATTCTCCAAGAACCTTTTTCTGATCAGCTCCCATACTTACCTCTTCACCAAAGCTCTAATTCACTATCAAGTAAACTAAGTGCAAACTGAGATTATCTATCTCATAAACACAATAGAGATGGCCAAATCAAAGAATTTCGCTTAAAATCTTCTCATTGATTCCTGCTTCCCTGCGACTATGTCATTTGTGTTGGAAATTTTCCTCCTTCCCCAAAATGCGGTCAGCATAAATAAAAATTATAAACTAATTAATAGTTAAAAGGATCGAACATTCCAAAAACGATCTACATCTTATTCTATAATTTGCTGCTCTCCAAGTGTTAACTTGCTGCAAATACAGCATTTTACCTTTTGTTTTTAAGGTCTTAATGTTTCTTGCACAATCTCTGCCTGTCCCCAAATGACGCAGTGAATCTTTTAACCACTGAAATGCAGCCCAGGTTTACTTCAGAATGTGCAGAAAGGGATTAATGTTCCCCAAACTACAATTAGTGCACATGTTTCAAAATAGTCCAGTGTCATTTAAACAGACATTTGCAGCATTAAAATCTGTTATAGTGGTACCCAGGGCTGACTCTTGAAAACAATGCCTCACGTAAAATTTCATAAGCTGACTAACACAAACCACCAACTCAAAATAAAAATAGAATTATTGAATTATTCTTGTTATTTTTATTAAAAGCAACCAAAGATAGGCAAAATTCCTTACATTCTTTGTTGCATTTTATTCCTTTCACAGGAACAAGATCCCAAGAACAAGTCCATTACACCAGCCACTTTAAGCTTTAAGAAGGTTATTAAGATCAAATGATGTACTCTCAAAAACTTATAATGGAATGCAAAACCAAAAAATATTACAGCTGAGATCTTACTACTATCATATAAGTCCCTGAAATAGTCCTGTATCAAAATCAATTTGATTTTTTTTCCAGTATTCCACTGTTCTTATCATTCATTCCAGCTAGATAGTCTGAAACTCAAATTTAACTCCTACTCTTTTCCTGCAGACCTTACTGCAAACAGGAACTCTTAAACAAACGAACAACAACAAAAAAAACCACCAAAACCCAAACCCACACACAATTAAATAGGATGAAAAACAAGGACTCTGGAAATCTGTAATAGATAAGGAAATTAAATCCCAATATTCTGTGCCATTGTCATGAATGATCCACTTTGTCTTTCTATATATATTCTTGTGTTCCACCTTTCTCCCATGAATCAGAAAAGAGGAATTACACTTCTACCAAGTAGTACTGAGAAAACAGGTAAGATTAAGAGCAGCTCACATTCTGTGACATGGGTTCACATAAAATATAACTATCTCTGACTAAAGATGCTACCTAATCCACTATTTCAGTGTGTCTCCTCATACATTCCAAGGCCAGAAACAAGACAATAGGAGAATTACTATTCTCTTTCTTATTCCTGCAAGGTCAAAGAGATCCAGCAGTAGTAGGAACAATCTCCCTGCTCAAGCAAAAAAAGCTAATTCAGTTCAATTGTTAGAAATGAGCATCCAAATTCTATTACCACAAGAATCATCCAAATATGTTTTAAAGATGCTTACTACCAATGTTCGTGCTACTAAGCATGTTAGTTATTTGATCTGTCCCCTTACACATAATTAAAATATCATGTCCTATATAGCACAATATTTTTGGAAAGATTATTAAATCTTAAAACTAGTATCTTCTGTTGTATGTCTAAATGAAATACAGTGAATATTGGTTACCATGGTAACCACAGAACTGAAGAAATTTAGTTTTGACATAATTGCTGCATATGTTCATACAAATCACATCTCTTATTCTGAGCATTAGAAATGAAGATACTTTTGAACTCCATTTTTTAAAAATAGAGTAATGAAGAAACAAAAAATTAGCTCAAGTATTTATATACATAACACAACATATTCTTGTTTAATTCACTTATTCACTTTGATAATTAGCATATATTTCCCTGCATTTTATTAAACCATTTAGTTAAGTACTGTTTAAGTTATCTTTTCACTTATTGATAATTAAGCCAGTTCTGTTCATAGAATCATAGAATCAGCTAGGTTGGAAAAGACCTTCAAGATCATCAAGTCCAACCATTACCAAGGACTGCCAAATCCACCACTAAACCGTGTCACTGAGGGCCTCATCTACACAGTTTCTGAACACTTCCAGAGAAGGTGATTCCACCAATTCCCTAGGCAGCCTGTTCCAATGCCTGATTACTCTCCCCGTAAAGAAATTTTTCCTAATATCCAACTTAAACCTCACCCGGCACAGCTTGAGGCTATTACTTCTTCTCCCAGCACTTACTACCTGGGAGAAGAGACTGACCTCCACTTCACTACAATTCTTTCTTTAGCAATGACAGAAGTGTAATAGAATGCAAAAACAGATTCCATTTACAAAATAACGTCTCCATGGATTGAACGATCCAAGGCAGTTTCAACTAAATCTAAACCATTTCTGACAGATGCTTGTCATATCTGTTTTAAAATCTTTTAGTGACAATTTCTACCAGATGTCTAGGCAAACTTAAACCAAACAACTATCCCTGCCATTACTTAGCCATCCTAATGTACAGTATAATCTCCTTGTCGTATCTGTATGGACACAGAAAATAATAGATTGCCTTAATCTTGTAAACAACTTCTTAAACATTTGAGAACTTCCATCTCTTTCCTTCTCTACACTAAACAGATCAAATTCTTCCGTTTGTTTTTACACACAAACCCCTGCCCCAGAGATTATGCTTTCCAACTGCTGTTCCACTCTCCTCCTCCAATTTCTCCCCAGTTGGTCCATGCCTTTCCAGATCCAGATCCTGAAGATGGAACAGACTTCCAGCTGATGCCACACCAGTACTAAGAACAACAGAAGTCTTACGCAATGCTTTTGGTTTCATATCCTGATACAACCCTTGTTTCTATCACAACAGCATTATAGTGGGTTTCATGTTTAGCACTTCAACCTACAGGTCTTTTGCTAAATTACCTATAATTCTGTTATCCTCTGTACACATTATTTCTGCTTATGGATAGTACTTTGTACTTGCTCTTATTGATTTACATCCTACTCTCTGACTTCTCAAGATCATTCAAATTGCAAATGATCCTATCCTCCTGAGTGCTGGCAAGCTCTTCCAAGCAAGGCTTTGTGTCCAAACTGAGAAAGATTCGTGTAGTAAGTAAGTCCTTGCTGTCACTATTACTCACAGAGTACCTCCATTGTTCTACAGTGCTGTTCATAAGATACGGTCTGTGCCTAACATGCCAATACTATGCTTTCAAAGAAAGAAACAAACATTATAAATGCTGATCAATCTCTATTTGATTTCCATCTTAAGCTGTATGTATTTTATTACTTTATGTTTCAGAGGGACTTGAAGTTAAATAGTAATTTTAGCCATTATGTATATTATATAAATAGTTTAGTTGCAAAGATTACAGAAACAAAATGAGTTGAAAATTTGGCAGGATCATGCAATCTATTTAAAATGAAAAAGGGAACACAACAGACTACTAAATAACATGAAATTGCATCTGTGTGTTTTCTAGTTTGAAGATAAGATCTTGCCAAATCCCAAACCGAGTGCTGAGTAACTATAAACACATTCTTGTTCAGTTGGACTCAGATGTATTTTGCAGCACTGCTCAGATCTTAGCAGCTAATTAATTCTTGATGCTATATAGAAATCTTCTTTAAAAAGAAAATCATTAGAAAAATATTTTTAAATTATACAGTCTCAGAGAGCTTTTTTTATGAGGATTCAACATTAAAGGGAAGACTAACTTATACAATTCAATACAGCTATACTGAGAGTACATTCTCATACCTGTCCTGCAATAGCCTTAGAAGATGACGGCTCTGAGACAAAGGAAAATGGGGAGGAAAAAAAAAAGAACAACTGTCAAAGACTAAAAAGTTTATCATAATTAAGAATTCAACAATATTTCCAAGCTGACTGGAACTGCTGCTTGCTTAAGCTAATTTTTTCTCACCATCTACCTTCCAAAGTGAGACTTCCTAACCCATGCAACATTTTATCTAGAAAATGTGACCATTAGATTTACTCAGTGTTTGTTTCATTAGAATTTCTACTGGACCTTAAATATGATAGCAAATATTTTGGCCATCTATTGCAGTATTAATTTTTTGATGTTGGTGTGGATAATAATCTTTCAAATGATTATTTAATCTAAAACTGCATCAAGTACTGAAAGAGGAATAGGAAATTTCTCTGCCTCATGTTCAAATTGAAAATCACCCTTCAAAAGCAGACTCTGTCCTTCACTCTGTCTTCATGCCAGCATTTTCATACTCACCTGTCTTAGCATGAAAGGTATAAAACCTGGAACAATCATCTAGAGTGCTGTTACTCTTACAGCTACTGTCCCCTTTCTACTTAACTCCATCTGAAAGCTCTTTACAAAAAGGCTTACAAAAGGCAATTCATAACACAGACCATCATAGCTACATCTTAATACAAGATATTACAGTCAGATAAACTCTAATCTCACACAGTCTGTAAGCTATGAATAGATGAGAGCATTTACAGAAATGTAAAGCCCCTAAGTAGAGAAGAAGGCTCAAGACACACGTATCAATTTCGTAGATAATAGTGGCATTATTTCACTAGATATAGCCACACTTCAACTCCATTGGGAAGGAACAATCATAAAAAATTGCAAATCAAACATCTCCAAAACTATGAAAAATCTCTGATTTCCCAAAAACATATTCATAAAGGATCTCATTGTGTTAGCAAATGTATTCAATTTTCCAGTCACGGCAATTTGAAATAACATAACCAGTCCCAAAATGAGAACATACTGGATTTTCATTTGGATCAGCCTGGAGACGAGAAGGCTGCGTGGAGACCTCATAGCAGCCTTCCAGTATCTGAAGGGGGCCTATAGGGATGCTGGGGAGGGACTCTTCATTAGGGACTGTAGTGATAGGACAAGGGGTAATGGGTTCGAACTTAAACAGGAGAAGTTTAGATTGGATATAAGGAGGAAGTTCTTTACTGTTAGGGTGGTGAGGCACTGGAATGGGTTGCCCAGGCAAGCTGTGAATGCTCTATCCCTGGCAGTAGTCAAGGTCATGTTGGACAAAGCCTTGGGTGACATGGTTTAGTGTGAGATGTCCCTGCCCATGGAACGGGGGGTGTAACTTTACGACCTTAAAGTCCTTTCCAATCCTAAATATTCTATAAGTCTATGATCACAGCCAACCCCTCAGCTTCCAATTCATGTCTCAATATGATCAGTTCAGAAAAACAAGAAGGGATTGCTGCTCGGGGTGTATTCTGCTGAAGCACAACAGTCAAGCTTATAGTGCTTTATATTTTTTTTGCCCTATTTCCTCTGATATGGTTCGAGACCATCTTAAAAACCAGAACGTGCACAAGTCCATGGGACCTGATGAAATCCATCCACGGGTCCTGAAGGAGCTGGCGAATGAAGTTGCTAAGCCACTGGCCATCATATTTGAGAAACCATGGCAGTCAGGTAAAGTTCCCGGTGACTGGAAAAAGGGAAGTATAACCCCCATTTTCAAGAAGGGGAAAATGGATGACCCAGGGAATTACAGACGAGTCAGTCTCACCTCTGTGCCTGGCAAAATCTTGGAGCAGATTCTCCTGGATGGCATGCTAAGGCACATGAAAATCAACAAGGTGCTTGGTGACAGCCAGCATGGCTTCACTAAGGGGAAATCCTGCCTGACCAATTTGGTGGCCTTCTATGATGGGGCTACAGAACTGATGGACAGGGGTAGAGCAGTTGATGTCATCTACCTGGACTTGTGCGAAGCATTTGACACTGTCCCACACGACATCCTTGTCTCAAAATTGGAGAGACATCAATTTGAATGATGGACCACTCGGTGGATAAAGAGCTGGCTGGATGGCCACACACAAAGAGTTGTGGTCAATGGCTCAGTGTCCGGCTGGAGACCAGTAATGAGTGGTGCCCCTCAGGGATCGGTGTTGGGACCGGTCTTGTTCAACATCTTTGTCGTTGACATGGACAGTGGGATTGAGTGCGCCCTCAGCAAGTTTGCCGATGACACCAAGCTGTGTGGTTCGGTTGATACACTGGAGGGAAAGAATGCCATCCAGAGGGACCTTGACACGCTTGTGAGGTGGTCTGATGCCAACTTCATGAAGTTTATATATATATACAGCATTTGTATATATACACAGCATTTGGTGTGTATATCACGTCCCACCCAGTGCTTACCAGGGTTTCCAAATGAATGTATCCTGATCCTTCTCTCAAAGAAGCAGCAGGTCAGTCTAGATTTTTACATAGATATATGATGTGGTCCACACTGGAACAGCTTTAGTGCCTGTTAACAAAGGGTTGCAAAGTTGTGCATTTTTGGCAAGCGTTTAGAAGTCTGAAAGGGAACGTAACAGCGGCTCAAGGCCAGGTTGGAAGGGGCTTTGAGCAACCTGGTCTAGTGGAAAGTGTCCCTGCCCGTGTCATGAGGGGTGGACTATTTAAGGTCCCTTCCAACCCTAACCGTGCTATTCTGCCACGACAACACGGTGAATGAGGAGCAGCCGGACGTGCCAAACACCGCCTCGTGTAAGCTAACACCGCCCCGACACGGCACTCGCGAGCGGCGCTGAGGACGCGAGGCAGCCGCAGTGGGGCCGGACCCCTGTACTCCCCGCGGCTCCGCTCTCCGCCCCGGGCCCAACCACCACCACCGCCGAGGCCCGTGGGCACTTGTCCAGCACTAGGACCGCTCGGAGCGCCACTGAGCGGGAGGCGGCAACGGCGTGGCCCCCTCCCGCAGCTAACCCGGGCACCAAGCGGGCCAGGCCGAGGAGCTGCCACCCTCCCCTGCGCGCCAGCCGCCGACAGCACAGCTGGCTGGCGGCCCCAGCCCCGCCTCCCGGTACTCACGGCTCCGGCGGGGCGCCCGCCGCTGCAGCCGGGCGGGGGAATCGGGCGGGCGGCCAGGGCAGGCTGCCAGCCGCCGCGTCCTGCCCGGCATCCGCCAGCCCGTTTCCCTGGCAACGGCGGCAGCGCGCGGGTCTAACGGGCGGCGGGGGGCCGGTGACGCCCGGCGGGGCCTGCCGAGGCCGTTCCAGGTTCTCCCAGGGTGGAAGCGGGGAGACCCCCGAGGGGTCCGACGGGGTGCCAGGGGCCCCTCACTCCGGCCTCGCACCTCTGCGGCTTCTTGATGGAGCTAAACAAGCTGGGAGCGAGGCTGTCCGCACACTGTCCGTCTTCCCGCGCAGGGAATTCTGTATTCTCTCCACTTAAGACTTCACTGCTGAAGTTGATGGCGCAATGAAAATGTGTAATGGTCAGCAGTGCGCCACGGTCCGAAATCTGGTAACTACTACCTTGACGAATAAAGCCAGACCTTGCCCGTTTAATTCCCTATAGAAATTATTAGCTGCTAACCAACCTGGCTGCCCGTCCTGATCATTAAAATCCATTCCTAGAAATTCTTGCATGATTGTATAATGATGTGAAAAGCCATTTGACTCCGATTTAAGAAGAGGACTTATAGACGCATAGTCTCTAGGATATGAGTCCTCTAGGACTCATAGAGGGCTCAGTGTGGGACTTAATTAAACTTAGGTTTCCCTCATGAGAAGTATATGCTCAGCCTTCTATACTTATTTTAAAGGTGGGAGGTTAAAATTAAGTTAGAGAAATAGGCAAAGGGTGTCTTGCTCATATTTGTTCCTGGGTTGCCCTCTTTTCTTTTTTTGACACCCCAGAGAAAGGACGCAACCCAAAAATCAATTACCTCTGTGTTATGTGTCCTCATCACATCTTTGTGTAGTCTTTATGTTTACTCTCGTATGTTCAACTTCAGTCTATTTAGTTTTAATGAGAAAAGAAACAGGGGTGATGAAGAGTTTACCTTGCCTCACCTTACTTCCTCAAAATAATCTTAGTGAAGACAAGATGTAAGTAGTTTTTTATTTTAGTAAATCTGGACCAGGAAAAAGCAATGTGCCTTTGCCTCTAAAGAGACCAATGGTTTACTGGGCTGCCTTAGGAGGAGTGTTACCAGCAGGTTGATGCAGATGATCCTTCTCCTCTACTCAGCACTGGTGAGGCCATACCTGTCCAGTTCTGGGCTCCCCAGTACAAGACAGACATGGGCATACTGGAGACCATGAAGACAATGAAGGGACAGGAGTGTCTCTCATTTGAGGAAAGGCTGAGACAACTGGGACTGTTCAGCTTGGAGAAGGGTCAGGGAGGATCCTAATAATGTGTATAAGTACTTGAAGAGAGGATGAAAAGTGGATGGAGCCAAGCTCTTCTCAGTGGTACCCACCGACTGAGCACTGGCACAAATTGCTTAGGGAGGTTGTGAATCTCCATCCTTGGACATACTCAAAAGCTGTTTGGAAACAGTCCTGGGCACCTGGCTCTGTGTTGAGCAGATTGGACCAGCTAACCTCCAGACACCCTTTCCAACCTCAACCATTCTGTGATGCTGTGATTCATGCAATGAGGGGAATGAATAGCATTGGCACTCTGTGGAGTTCAAAGCCGCCCTTATGTCTCTAATGATATTGCACTGAGATAAATATTTCAAAATAAATACCCTTTTACAGATAACGAAAAAATACCCTTTGGTACACAGGAAAGCAGTGGGGCAGCAGTTATCAGGAGAAGAAATACCATGTTCTCAGGTATTTTATAGACTTTGAAATGACAATTTTAATCTTGAGATAATTATCTTTACCAAGACTGAAGAAAGGAGATAAGGCAAGGTGATAGATACTGCGCTTTTACTTTTCCAGGGCTTCAGATCCTCAAGCTGTTGCACATATTTCTGGTATTTTGATTTGTCACTACTTATTTGGCAATACACATTTCTGCCTTCTTCTAGGCTTCTTCGAGGGAAAAGGAAAATGCAGCAATAAAAGGAGCTGTTTTGAATCACAAATGTATGACAAGATTCACTGTTACTGTGTTTGATCTTGTGGAGTAGTTATTGATCTTGGTAACTATTGTAAAACAAAGGACATGTCTAATCTTCTGTTTGCTATCATACGAGTACTGTGGTCATCCTGAGTTATAGATTTCTTAAACAAATTAAGAAAAAAATAATCTAAATAGCTGCCAGCTATCTGATACATTGAAACATTTAGATGGTGTTAGTAAAAAACAGATTTACCCAAAAGTTGAGTGCCTTTGTAGTTAGCTGTATAATTTATTCATAAGTGGGAATAAAGCTTCAAGAGTGTATTAATATATTCATTAATCTCATAGAAAGCATTGCCTGGTACTTTTTTTTTCTTAGAATAGCAAAAAAATTATTCTTACAGTTAAATGCTTTAAAAGTTAAGACTAAGAATTGCTCAAAAGAAGCAGGACTAAGTACATGATGTTTTACTCATGTGTAGTTATATTAAGAAACATTTTAAAGTTTTACGATTATGGAATTCAGGCATAAATAAAATGGGAAAAAAAACATGGAGATCAGCTGTTCATATAATACCAAGAAAGTATTTGCAGTGAACATCTCTTAAAAGCCCTCTTACAAGCTTTCACCCTCATTAAAGACTAGTTAGGACCTGAACAGAATAAGAAAAATCCTGAAGACGTACTGTATGACACTGTTTTGTGATACTTTTCACCGATTTATTTTATAATCCAGAGGAATCCAGTGAAGGGGTGGAATTGCTGCCCCTGGAAGTGTTTAAAAAATGTGTAGATGAAGCCCTTAGTGACATGGTTTAGTGGTGGTTTTGGTAGCCCTGGGGAAATGGTTGGGCTTGATCTCAAAGGTCTTTTCTAACCTAGTTGACTCTATGATTCTATGTAAAATAACAGAATAGAGAATATTGCACAAAACTGCTGATTTTTTCTTCTGTTACTGTCAGTAAAACATGCAAGATCAATGCATAAAGGAAGGGCAGATGGTCTGCACGGTGTGGGTTGCAGAACAGGAAAATCTTAAATGTGGGACCAATTGTGCCCTTTCTTCCAGCCTACATGCACTGCACCAGGGCATTCAGAAGCTGTAAGACACCAGGCTCTTAGGACTGAATGCTCAACTGCAATACTGAAATCCAGTACTTAATCTTCCCTTCTGCGATGTAAGAGAAATTTGTACATGAATGACAAAAAATTACAAAAGCAAACACAGCATTATGTATCTTCTCCACTAATGGAGAAGATGAAAGAACTAACATAGGAGAGATGTTAAACCACATCAAAAGAGGCACCAGGCCAGGATCTACATCAGTATTTCTACACCTAACTGTAATTAGGAATTTAACAAATACTTTCATTTAGAATAAGGTGCCTAAAATCATCTACAACTCAAAACCTCAGCACACAAGTTTACACTGAACAACCTCCCTTCTCCTGTGCTACCTCTCTGAGCTGCATGTCAAGAAATGGAATGGAGTTGTCCAGTCTGATTTGTGTAAGCGGCTGAAACTGCCTTGAACCAAAATGTTGGTAATATAAACCAGCTTTTTTCCCTTCTTTTTAAATTCCTTTTCACACTTCATCACTAATAAATTGCTAGATGTCCAAGTTGTGTCTTTAATTACATGTGTGAAGTGTGACTATAGCTTAACATAAATTTTGGCAATGTGTAAGCAGCAAGATAGTCCTACTCACCCTGCAATGCTGATAGGAATATATAAAGCTGACACATGCAACCCCTCCCAATTGCTTGTTAAATTCATTACAAATGTTTCAGGAGATTCAAAGAGAAAATTTACTTGTTTAGCAGGACACCATTTTCATAAAATACATTTTCAGAACAGAAACCAGACCCTGAAGCTGCCTTTTAAAGAGATTTTGTATTTTCAGCCCTTATGCAAAATTTTAGTACTACAGTATTGTCTTATATGGGAAAACAGAATCTGTGTCCCAGATTCACTTCAAAATGTGTGCCTTCTATGAATCAAGTAATGCAAAATTAATTACATTTAGCATAATGAGTTGCCCAATCTGCAGCTTCAAGAAACTCCTAACGTGATGGAGGGAAGTTCTTCCTGTATCACACCTATAGCTCATTGTGTAATACACAGGCTGGGGAAAATGAAGTGTTCTGCAGGATATACTACTGCTGTCTCATCCCGTTTTTTTCAATTACATTCAAGGGCTAGGCATAAATAACACCCCAAAACATCTGTATCGTTGGAAGGAACACTTAGCAGCAGGACCATTCTGTAAAAGTTCATGGAAGGATCTAAAGAGAAATATGTTTTTAAGGATTTTTTATTGAATTTTGTAGTCTATTCTATTAATGTATTTGTCAATTATATAATGGTGTGCTGTGATTATCTAGAGTACATTAATAATGGAAAAATACTAGTCAAATGCAATCAAAACAAGCCACTTCAGATGATAGTTATTCTAGCAATGCTGACGAGCTTCATATGAAAACTGGAGGGAGAAGATTTTCCAGCAAGTTACAAATCTCACATTTATTATTATGGCCTCAAAAATGCTCAATTTAGACCTGCTTAAGCGGGGGGGGGGGTGGATTAGATGACCTCTAGAGGTCCCTTCCAACCTCAACTATTCTCTGATGCTGTTTGAAATGCTGAAGTATTTGAATCAGATTTGGTGAGGCATAGTTTTAATACCTCATTGGACTGCAAATGAGAGTTAGGTTTCCCCAAAGTAGAAAGAAACCCTAGATATGGGTTTCCTGCATCTGGGTTGGCTGCTTCATAATGAGGTTACAAAATAGAAGCAGTTTGGTGGATGTCTACACGCTTTGCTTTTATTTCAAGTGCCTGAAAATAAAAATTGTGTAACAGAACAAACAAAATGTTTAATTTAGTGTAAAACTTTTTTTCTTTTTTCCTAGTGTGAAAAGCCACAAATTTGGTTCTTTATGACTCATTCCCACCACATGTATTTTTCACTTTGCCTGAGAAGGCAAATATTCAATTATTCATGCAACTCTCTTTAGAACAGACTGCGGTTATGACAATGCTGGAAAGCCAAATATTATGCTTAGAAAAATGTGTCTTGCTGCCTAAACTAATACCCTTTCACATGACAGTTATGGCCTCTCACAAAACTGTAACTTCTCATGTTGAAATGCAGGTTCTGTGATTAACAGAAACTTTTTTACAGGGTTAGCTTTTCTATGTATGCCTTCTGTTGTGTTCTCTGACTGTAATGGGAATTCTGCATGACACTCATATTCCACTTTCTAGTTAACCAATTTTTGTTGATTCCTGTAAGTCTAAAAGAAACTGTCACTGCAGGAATAGAGTTTCTCACTTGAGTCAAATTAGTTTGCATTGAACAACTGATAAAGATCATATCTGGTATCAAAATACATGGTACAGGGAGACAGACGTTGTCTTCCAACCATTATGAGGTGGGAGATGCAAATTCTTGTGACAGAGTTGTTAATAACTCAGAAGCTGCTGCTGTGAATTTAAACAGGAAAGTTCCTCACTCAGATCAGAGCAGGAAAACAAGATGAGGCATGTGAAGATAATGCACACAAATACAGGCTACAGGCATAAGATACACAAAGTAATTTAAAACAGACAGTAGCAACCAAGGCATAA